GGGCGCGGGGGCCGGGCCGCCCGGAGGCCCCGACGGCGCCGCGAGGCCCCGCACGTGTCGGCCCCGGCCGCGGCGCCCCCGGCCCGCGCCCCCCGGCCCCCCGTAACCCGTCGGCGGCTCCGCCCCGGCCCCGCGATGTGGTTCTTCCCGCCCCCCGCCCGCGGGAGGAGCCGTCCCCGAGCCGCCCGCGTTCCCGCATCCGCCGCGGCCGCTCCCGGTGCCGGCCCGAGCGGAGCCCGGTCCCGACCTGCGGAGCGCTGGAAGAGCGGGAGGCGGTCGTTTCTCCCGAGAGAGCGGCGCTCGGCTCCGTGTGGGCGGCCGGAGCGGGCGGCTGCGAGCCGGGGAACAAAGGGGAGCGGAGGGGCCCGGATCTGCTTGGAGGGGATGTTGGGGGGGCTGCCCGCAGGGTGCGGGGATCGCTCCTCTCGCCTCGGGACTCCGAGGGACTCCTGCCGCTCCCCGCAGTTACCTGGATGGGGCGGGGGATCTGCCGGCTGCTCTCCCTGGTTGTTCTGGTAGTGTTGTGACATTTAAAAAAAAATATCTGGTCAGAAGGCAATGTTAAGTATCTGTTAGTGGGCTGCCTGTCAACCATAAGAGCAAGGCATGTCCCAAAAATGTAATTATCTCAAAATTCAGCATTACAGACCACGGACATGCAGAGAAAATGCTGTGCTTAGTGCACGTCTGTCTCTGTTTAGAGAGCTTTGTTTAGGCAGCTCCTGTGCTTCAGCAGCCCCAGGAGGAGCAGGGCTGCAGGCTGTCCTCATCAAGAAATCTATCTGGGATCAAAAAGGTGAAAATAGTGGAATCCAGAAGTAGTAAGCGGAGAGTTCTTTTGCTGGGCACAAATTAAGGGCTGTTCATCTGCTGCAGCTGCATTTTTTCCTCAGCTTGTTTGGACTTTTAAAGTGTATCCTCAGCACTGAGCATCCTACACACAATACAGGTGCCTTCACAACCTGATCATCACTCTTCGTCTGGTTACTCTTATATACTCTCAGCCTTTGCTCTGTTCCCACTCTAATTTTTCTTTGTAAATGTTTTCTTTTAGTCAAATACCGATGGTCCCAACGGCACTTCAAGCCGGGAAGGTGGCTGAGCTGAACGTAGCCCTGCAGTCAACACCCTGATACATTTTTGGGCCCAAAATTGCATCCTACTGCAGCACTGTTCCCATCCCTGTGGGGGTTTGTGGGGCTGCAGGGCTGGGGAGCAGCTGGGAGCTGCAGGAACACATCGCTCTGTGAGGCCTCCGTGCTCCAGGATCCCCGGCGTGGTTGGCACAAGCAGCTCCAGGAGCTCATATCCCAGTAAGGACAGGTAATATCACTGAGCCTCATCCTACTTCCTTAGAGAAGAGGATGCATCCCATCACTCTGGCTGGCTCGTGTTCTGTTTCTGTGTTCTGTCTCTTTGGGGAGCTCTGGAGTTGGGCTCTGCACCAGCTGCCGTGCTCAACTGGAGACTTTGGGGAGCCTTAGGGCAAAAAGGGGAGTGTGTTAATGTTAATGTTGCAGATCTCTGGGCTTTTGTCCAAAGTGGTGAAGCAAAGAGGTTCAAATGCCTGTCCTGCTCCCTCCTGCTGTGCTGTTTGCTCAGGTAACTCAGGGCTTTTCTCATAGCACTCTTACTCATCCTTCCATCACCCATATGGCAAGGGGCAGGGGCTGTTGGGAGAGTGTGGAGCTCTGAGGGTGTGGGAAGAGCTTCATTGTGCATGTTTACCTTTGGTGCAGTGACACACTGAGTTTGGGGGAACATCCAAGCACACACATTTCAGTTACTGAATACTGTTTGTCAGCGTGAGAGCTTCACCTTCAATACGAGCCACCCTGTGCTGAGCAGATTGTGTCCAGCATGGCAGGAGGCTCAGGGAGAGCTGTGAAACACCTGCACCAAGAGCTGAAGGTTTGGATTTGTTATTGGTAGGAGTAAGGCATGTAGGAGGCCATCGGGAGATTTTTAACCATTGGGAGTAACGTAAAGGGAGATGCTTTTTGATTTAATACCCCTCCAAATGAAATAGCATACGTAATACATTCCAGTATGTCCTAGTAGAGTTCAGTACATTGGAGTTCATTGGACCTTGCTATAGGAAATGAGACAGAAATGAGACAGCTCAGCTCAAGTTCCCCAGCTCATTTCCTAAGTCTTGAATTGACAAAAAGCTGTGATGGTGGGGGAGATACAAATCACCCCTCAGACAGGCACTCACCATCAGCTAAAATCCCACTTCTCATGGTCTCACTGCTTCACCATCTCTTCTACCATCGGCGGTGGGGAGGATAAAGGAGCTTTGGTGGGACGGTGTATCCTGGCCGTACCCACAGTGCAGAGCTCTGTGTGATGCTGTGCTGGGAGCCCCAGGACTCAGCAGGAGGAAATGCTGTACAGAAATCCTCCCTTACAGGGATAAGTGCCTGTTGTTCTGCGTGATATTTTGGTTACAAGGTATTTCTAGATGTTGACAGTTAATTTCTTGCCCATGTGAAAGAAAATAAAAAGGTGGTTGGGTATTTTTTTTGGTGCGTGTGTGTTTTCAAGAAATAAAAATTATGCATTATTCCACGTGGGTGTGTGAGACTGAATGCAAACATATAGAACTTCAGGAATATGTATTTAATGCCAAGCACTGCTGGCTGCCTGAAAGGTGACTTTGGGGAAGGATTGCAACAGAGGGTTGGAGCTGGATAATCCTTGAAGCCCCTTCCAACCCAAGCCATTCTATGATTCTTCTATACTTTCCTCACTGTAATCACTCCTGAAAAGCAGTTTTTTGCTGTGCTCCCTGGTAGCATTGCAGGCATCTTCTTCACCCTGACAGTGGCAGAAGTCTGAATTGTTAAAGATATTTTCAGCCATTCCCTAATGAGTCCCTCTTTCTTTCTTGCACTTTAATGAGCTCCAGGTTTATTTTCCTCCCCCTCCCTTCTCTCCTGGTGCTTCTAATTTCAGATAAATATTTAAGATTAGAAGCGGCTCTGGATACATAACATGACCTTTAACCTCTGTGCAACTTTCTGACTCTGACTTGCCATTAAAAGCTCGATCCATCTCTATTCCTGCAACGTGAAGATTTTCAGCTGAAATTACATCCATGTTTTTTTTTTTTTCTTTTTTAACAGGAGCAACTTTTCTGTACATGTTGTGTCACTTTCAGATGCGAAATAGGAAACAGCTGCCTTTTTCAGACATCAAATAAGAGCCACCCCTCATTTTCAGGCTCTCTGAAAACCGAAATGCATCTTTCGAAACTTAATGGTTGCTCTATCTCAGCAGCTGTCATTAACACAGCCATTTTAATTGTTTCTTCATACCTTCTGTGAAGGTATTCACCAATGGAAGGGCAGGGTGCCCTGATCTGTGTTCGATACTTGGGTTGCTCCCTTATCACAGAGGCACGTTGTGGTATTTGTTGCCCCGTTTGCAGGCATGGTGCGACAACAGCCCTTCCCAACAGAACGGAAAGAACAAAAATGATGAATGAAAGCCATTTTTGAGTATTAGTTTAAACAGTGCGTTGCACACTGCAACATCCTTTAGTGCTGTCACATCTATGGAGCAGTCCTGCTGCTGGATTTGGGGAGCCGTGCTCAGCAGTGCATCATTCGCTTCCCACTGTCTCGTTTCTTCTTTGCCGTGCTTAAGAGGACGGAGCGTTATCTTTAACGGCAGCCTTTCCTTAACAGGGCCTTTTTCTTTTATAACCCAGGCAGAACAGAGCTGGATGGAGACAGCGGGAAAAAGCTTCGGCTTAAAGCAATTCCAGCGGTTAACCCGGGCCGCGACGGGAGCGACAGAAGCGCCGTCCGGAGCCGGCTTCGGGAACGCATTCAGCGCATCGCCGGCGGTGCTGGGAGCGCAGGGGAGCTCCGAGGCACGCGATGCGACGGACGCCGGCTCGCTGCTCCCGTCACACGCCTCATCCGAATGGCGGAGCGGAGGTTCGGGCGTAGCGCCGGCTTTTCACACGGGGAGCCGCAGACCGCGGGGACGGCGGTACCGCCGGGCACGGGAGGGGCTGAGCCCGGAGCGCCGCGCTGCCGCCGAGCTCCGTTCGAACCCGTCCTCTCGGCTGACGGAGCGCCGTCCGCCCGCCGCGGTCCCCGCTCGTACCGGGGGGCGGAGCGGGGCGGGCGCAGCGCGGCTCCTCCCCGGGAGGGAAGATGGCGGCGGCGGGCGGGGGGGGCGCGGCGGTGTCGGTGTTGGCCCCCAGCGGGCGGCGGGTCACGGTGCGGGTGGGGCCCGGCACGGTGCTGCTCCAGGTGGGTCCGGGTCGGTGGGCGGCGGCGGCGGGCCGCGCTCGGAGCCGCGTCCTGACGTGTCCGTTCTCTCCGCAGATCCTCGAGGAGGTGTGCAGGAAGCAGGGCGGCAGTCCCGCTGAGTACGGCCTGAAGTGAGTCCCTGCGCCGGGTCGGCAGCGCCGCTTCGGCTCCCAGCCGAGCCGAGGCCCGCGCGCGGCTCCGGGCTCCGCGCCGTCCTACGCGCCGCCCCAGGGCTTCCCGCCGCCCGCCCCGCTCGGCCGTGTGGAGCAGGCCGCGAGCCGGGGCTGCTCGATGGACCACGAGCTGCTTTTACTCGTTGCCAATGCGAGGCGTTGTGTGGTGGTGATACGTGAGGAAACAGCTGGTAGTTAGCGCTGGGGAGAGAGCGCAGCGCTTACAGCACGCTTCTGGTCGTCCTCCAGAAAGTTGTTTTCTTCAAATTAACCTCAGTGGGTTTTCCGGTGTCCGAGTCCATTCACTTCTCAGGCAGACACTGAAATCCTTCCATAAAAACGTGCCCCTGCTTCTCCCCCCTCCCCTCGTGCACTTTTTCTGGTTCACTGCAGGACCCTGTGTTGCCTGCTGTTCGACTGCCTGCCTTTACAGTGAGAAAGCCAGCAGTTTGCCCATCCGCCTGGCAGCAGCATGCCTTGTTATTTATCATCGAATGCTCGTGTGTGATTCAGCTGACGTTTCTCTGACACGTCTCTCGTCAGAGCGTTTTGTCTGTGATTTCTACAAACTGTAGCTTTTGGTATGCTGTGTCATCACAGCCTGCCCGTGGGGAGTTCTCTTGCTCCAGACCTGGATGTTAGATCCCTAAAGTGACGTGACGCTGGTCTGCGATGGTTCCTGGTGTCTTCACCTGCTCTATTTTTCTTTAGGTTTCAGAGAAGTGTGTTGGATCTCACTTTGCAGTGGAGATTTGCCAGACTGCCCAACAATGCCAAGCTGGAGATGGTGCCAGTCTCTTGTAATAGAGCGGGAATTGGAAACGCGGTATGTTCATTACAAATGGTGACCTGATTTGTTTAATTTTCAGTCCTGCTGGATGTGACCCTGTCAGTTCTAATGAGCAGGGGCATGTTTAGGCTTGGCCAGTGCACGAGTGAAGGACCACCCAAAGAACAATGGAGGTGTGATGGAAAGTAGTTTGGTAGTTGGAAGTCTTCGCTTACAGTCCATGTGGTCATGGAGGGTAAGAGGGTTTTTTGAAGAGCTGAAGAATTTAGCAGTCTTAAATATGTGTGACCTTAAAGATTGCTGATGACTTTGCTCAAAAGCTGGGTTAGTTCTCTTTCCCAGTTTCTATTTCAGTTACTGTAGTTTGCCTCTGAGTTTCAACTAAAATCTCAGTTTTTTACAGAATTCACAGTGTATTCACACAGCTTTATCACTTTCTCTGACATGCTGTGTCTAGCAGTGGCCCTATCTATTATTACTGGCAAAGGGCTTATGGGTGCTTTGCTCTGTAGGAGTTACTGTCATCTTCAGGAGACCTAAATCTTTTTATGCTTTATTCTAACGGCTGGAGGCACAACTTAATGGATATGTGTTACTGAGCATAAACATTTTATGAGGTAAAATCTTATTTAAGCAGTCTGGAAATGAAAATTTGTCTATTGCTTAAAGTAATCTTTTTTTTTTTCTGATGTGCTTAATAAGGAGCTTCTCAGATTTTGTCTTCAGGTCTGTTGATCTCTTAATGTCTACCTGCCAAATTGTGATAGTGGTATTTTGTTGTAGGTAGTTACTTTGGCTGTCACATCAATAAACTCATACATACATTGAAATTTGAACAATGTTTTATTAGAAGGTTTGGGGTCTCTTCTCTGGTTTGCTGTGGGTGTGTTTTATAGCTTTGGATATCAGTAATGTTCACATCTACCTTTAAAACTTCCATATGCTTTGTTCTGGTGCTAACGTTTCCTTTCTGACTGTGATAGAAAGACGTGTCTGCTCAAAATGACATCATTTAAAAGAGCAAAACCAAAATGCAGTCTGGGAGCATACGCTGCGATTTTCAGTTAAAATAAAGTTGTGATGGCATGAAGTAATTCTTCCAAATGAAAGTGGTTCTATCAGAATGGTACAGTGATGACCGCCTGAGCTTTGAATCTAGTTTGAGAGACATTGTATTGAGGGGAAAAATGGTTTTATTTAAAGAAGATGGATGGAGCCTACCAGAAAGGTTGAGAACTGTGTATTGTAGGAGAAGGGTTATAAGGTGGAGTCGCAGACTTTGGTCGTTATTAAAGGCTAATTAAAATTGTTATTTAGTTGTATTTCAACAAAATGATCCACAGGATTAAGAGTTCCCTTAGAGTGCTTGTTGGTGTTTGAAGGAGTTGAGAAGGCAGAGCAAACATGCTTGCAAATGGTGCAGTGTGAACAGAGTTGCTGTCCCATAAACTAAGAACAGACACTTCACTAGAAATAGTTCTATGAACAATATAAAAAATACTTTGTAAAAGTAAATACAGTTGTCCGAAAGAATTCCTTGTTGCTGAGAAAGAGTGTCGTGTTCTGTAGGAAGTTTAAAACAACTGGATAGTTCTGGGGATTGAACTGGTGCTGTGCTGTGGCCTAATGTGGTGGCTGTGGAGATGTGAACTCGATCACGCAGCTTGGTTAAGGTAATGTTGGGGTGAACCTGATTCTGTGCCATTTGTTATGGAGCAAATTCTCCCTGTGATGGCAGGTGATGTAGGGGCACAGTCAGCACAGTTCTGGTGATAAAGTTATTGTTCTTTTGCTTATCTATTTGTGAACTTAGAGATACCAGTGCCTGGTATAATAGTCTTCAATTATTTTACATGGAGACTGGGATTTTTTAAAAGACTTCCAATTGACTGACTGTGACTTTCTGGACATACATAGCTTTGAACTGTTGCCCAAGAGACTGATGCAACTGGCAGTCTGAATTTCAGGGCCGGATTCTGGTAGAATGGTGATGTCAGCTGTCATCACTCTGCTGTAGCTGAGGGTAATCTCAGGTTTGTCTTCAGCATGGAAGAAACCAGGAGGTCGTGTTAATGGTGGGCTGAAACTATTGCCTTCTGTTAGCTGGTTGCTGGTGATGCCACCATGATTCTCATCTTCAGCAGATCAAAATCAGTAGTCCTGCAAGGGTTGGTGGGAGCTGCAGCAGGTGGTAAACACACTCTTCCAAAGAAATTGCAGTATATGGTGTAATTGTTTGGCTGCTAAGACTTTTCTTTGGGGCTGTTCCTCAGTTTATTCAGCTTCTTGGAAGTGCCCTTTATTTATTATTTTTTTTCCAGAAGAAGTTTTCTATAGATTATAAAGGATGCTTCATGAGCTAATAAGTGTAGATGTTCACATTCCAGGTTGGAAAACACCTGTTCCTTTTTTTCTTCTAATGCCACGTGCAAGTATTTAAGAACTTGAAATTGTGCATTAAAATTTGGTGGTTAGGAAGCCTTCGTGAATTGCAAGTTGCATGGACTGTCTTTTTGGACTTGGCAATAGTTGGTTTGGTCTCCAGTGACATAAGAAAGACAGTTTTGTTGTTCCTATGTGTAAATGTGCAAGTTATGTTATTTGTTAGGCTTTGGGAAGGCTTTTTGCTTGCTGGTGCTTAAGTCAGCAGAGCTTTGTGTTGTGTGGGTATCACAACTTGTGCAGCTGCATCAGTTCTGTCTGAGCCATTGGAATTCATTTAATAGAGAGCTTCTCACTGTACAGTTTCAGCTAGTGTGAAACAGAGCATTTCAGCTGCTTGTGGTGGCCTGTCAGTTGGGACTCTTGCATCTTTTCTCTGTCAGTGTTTCAGTTCATGGTGATACAACGTTCCAATCAAAACCCCCTAACAAGCAGGATCCGTTATCTGAGAGTTGATACTTTTCCACTGCCTTTCACTGCACTGTTAGAACAGTGTATGAGCTGAGCAGTGCTGAGAAAGTGAGCGTTCAGAGGAGCAGATGTTGGGCTGTGGTATGGAGACTAAGGCTGAGTTTGCCACTTGCACTGAAAGTGTTCTCTGCAGAGCTCCCTTGTAACCGTGACCCCATCAGCTGCTTTCAGTGCTCTTGAACACTTCTGTCAAAGTCTCCTCTTTTGGCTTCTCTTCTTGATTTTTTCCTGTTCAGCTCCCTCCAATTGCTTGTTCAAAAGGTCCTCCGTATTCCATTTCACTTTCTTTAGGCTTTGGCCTGAGCTCCTTCTCTCTCCCCTCTGCCTGCATCTTCTGGCTCTAGCTGGCACAGATGCTTCCTTCAAAGTCCTTTCTTTTTGACTCTGAGTAGATATGCAGACGTGGTAGTGAGGATCAACTGCAGTGAACTCATAGCTGTGCAAACATTGCGATATTTGGAAAACAGTGTGACTTCTCTTTTTTCCATCCTCTGTTTCAAGAGGAGATTTTATTTTTAAAAAGGGCTCTTTTTTTTTTTTTTTTTCTTTCTAATTTTTACTGTTATTGTAGGGTTGTTGGAAAGTCAGGAATATTCATTGTGTAAGAACATTTCATAACAAATAAATGTCCTCTAGAATTCTTTAATTCTAACAATATTTAATGGAGAAGCAAAGTCTGGAGTCCAGAGAAGTCCTTGGAGAATGATACTGGTCAGGCTGGTGGATGTCTGGATGACAGCATCAGATCTGTTGTCCTGCTGTTTCTGTAGACAGAGTAGTAACAATAGCTGGTATCATGCTGTGCATTCTTACTGCGTGAGAATACACTACAGGTTGTGCAGCTGAGAGATTCATGTCAGATTATTTAAATGGTAATTTACTAGCAGCACTGTGTGCACTGTGAGCTTGGACTCTGAAAGCAAAGCTGTTAATTGCATTCAGCAAATCTTTCAAAACCGAAGTCATATGGTCATGTTAAACTTTCAGTGATGTGAGAAGATACTGCAGTGCTAATGAGTCGCCCAAAAGCATCTATTTGCTGGAGAATTAAAACTATAATATTTGTAGCAGAATAATTTGTTACAGATATTAACTTCGAAGATACGTTAATCAACATTTGTATCTAATGTAATCGTTTGCAGCAAGTGCTTAGAAGGAAGTTGCATTTTTTTGGATAGCTAGCTAGCAATGATTCTAGAGATCATTGAAATGGTGAAGAAAGTTGCAAAGAAAAGGGTTTTCATTCAGTATTTATAATTCAGCATGTTTTTCCTGTAGGTTCGGATTGCACTGCAGTTAGATGATGGCTCCCGTTTGCAAGATACGTTTCTTTGTCAACAGACTTTGTGGGAACTTCTGAACCATTTTGCAAAGACCAGGTGAGCAATGCAGTGAAAAAAATATGTGTTTGAATAGATCTCTATGTAACAATCTGTAGTTGCAGTTACAGAGCTTTCTGCTTTAACGCCAAGTAGGCAGCTGCTGGCTCTCTTCCCTTTGGTCCCCAGTGGGATGGAGGAAGAGAATTGGAAGGGGGGAGGTTGGAAAGTTTGTAATTTGAGATAAATGCAGTTTAATAAGTTAAAAAAAAAACAAAAACAAAAACAAAAAACCACACTTGCTTCACCTGGTAGAAGAGGTTCTTAAGCAGGTTGTTGTTGCTTTTGGGACTTGCTGTCATGCAGATGTTCAGCAAGCAATGTGGAACCTTCAGAAGACTGATTAAATCCTATCTAAATGGAAGAAAATCTGGTCTTACATTTATGAAATATATACATGGGTTAGAAATCCAGTTTTTAATTGAGTGCTTTCTTTTGTCTTTAGTTTTGACTTAAAGATGCTGTATTGTTTCAAGATGTCAAGCTAATAAGCTTTTCTCTATAGAGAGTTCTTTTTTTGTGGCTTGGAAGATGTGGCAGCAATTCTATTCCAAATAGAATTTCCAAATCTAGGTTTTTTTTTTTCTATTGTAGTTGGATTCACCTTTCTCTTGATAATGTGTCACTTTAGAACCTGTATTTCTATCTTGTTCTTCCTCTTGCATTCCTTGCCTTCTGCCAGTTGCTCTTGGCTTTTTCTAATGTAACTGGAGAACTTCTTGCTTCTGTTGCCTATTAATTTCTTGCTCCTCTGAACAGATGCTGTATTACAGTATTGTGCAAGCAGGAAGTATTTTTTGTTAATTTCTCAGAACGCTCAAACATTGATCAATCTAAGGAGGTGGTGGCCTTCTATCTGGAATGTTCTTATGTCTCTGAGGCTGTGGTGCTTGAAAAGCTGCAAAGTGAGTGGTCACTGGGAAAGGAGGGGGGATGATGAAGTTGCTTTCAATGAAGCTCAACCTTTCAGCATAGGCTTAGAGGATGCAAAGTGATGGATTGGCATGCACACAGAGTTGTAGCATTGCCCAGTGGTTGGCATGTGTTAGCATTAGCCTAGCAGGAACAACTTTAGCTGAAGTTTAAAGTTGCTTATTCTGAACTGCTCTTGAAATAACTGAAGAAACAGAGTTCTGGAGTTGAATTGGCCAATGTTACCTCAGTATGTCAGGTAGTACAATTGGATTGTGTGACTTGAGTTGCACTGGAGCTGTTGCCAGGGCAAAAGAACTAATTCTTTAGACCTCCCAGGGACGTGCTGTTGGTTTTCTGTCAGCTTATCTCCTCCACTGCCCCACAGGAAGATCAAACGAGGACCTGGTGTTGGCCTGAGGGAGGGAGCTGGGATCATGGACTCCGTCAGAAACATCACCATAGTAGTTACTGCTTATTTCCTGCACTCCCATCTAACTCTCCTCATAGTATTTGTGCAGCTTTGTGGGGAATTGGCTTATGTGGTTGATTCAGCTGAAAAACAGTATTTTCCTTAGGACAGTTTCCTAATCCAGTTAAGAGCTGTCTCACAGACAGTTGTGACAAGAAGTGTAACATGTCAGAAATAAAGATCCAAAGGGGGAAACAGATGGGTAGGAATGGTTTATGTCAGTTTTTCTACTCAGCGTTTTGTATCACCAAACAATAGTTTGAGGAAATGCTTGAGGTAGCCTACAGTGGTACAAGTGAGTCTTACTCATTCTTCTCACTAACGGTGAGGTCTACTGCCTGACATTTACTTTTAAGTCAAAAGGGACAGTCTGCATGTAAATGCTAGACAGAAAATAATTATTTTTATTTTCTGGTAGAGGAAAGAGATGGGCAACAGAGGAATGGAGAAGCAAAAGCCAGGTGTTCTGGGTATTTTAAGGCCTCTCTTGAAGCTTACCACATCCTCTGGGAGGAGAGGAGTGCCCGTTGCAGTTCAGGAGCTGCCAGATTGGTGGAGCTTTTATTTGTTAGAGGTTGTTGTAACACTAATAGTTAATATGCATAGTGCTCTTTTTAAGGTTATAGCTGCCACTCTATCCTAAGTGTTATTAACTTCTGTTCATGAGGCACAGCTGTTCCCTTCTGCCCTCTGGAAGCTGAGCTCAGATGCTTGGGTGGACTTTGTAGACTTCTGATTGAACTCAAAAAGCAGTGAAGATGGTGTGTGTGACGACAAGCTGGATCTATAGCCATACATTCAGATTTTGTGGGCTGTGCTGTTTTCCAGTGTGTGCTGACGCAGTTGACTGGTTAGTAACCAGTCAACTAATTGGTGACTTCTGCTGAATCTTCCCTTTCCAGTTTCCAAGTGGAGACGTTTTCCTGGAATGCTCAGCCGCTGTAAGTGCGTGAGGGGAAGTATTCTAAATCCACTGGAATTTCCCCCAGGTCTTCAGCGTCCATCTTGGCTAATTGGCTCTGAAGAAGGTCTGGAAGCTATTGTCAGGCTGCTCCTCCTCTCAGCATGCGGCAGTCCTTGCACAAGATGTTTACAGGCCCTGTCAGATCACTACATGGAGGAATCTAATCTGCTTGCCGTTCCCCTTCTAAAGAACAGCACATCAAAGAAATGACAATGTGTTTGATGTATGTGCTTGCCTCAGTGAATGAATGTAGTGGATTAACAGCAGCTGGAGGAGGAGCCTGCTGGCTTACCAGAGTTATACGAAAATAAGTCTCCCTGGGATCTTTGCTTGGAGTCTGTTCTTCAGAGACTGTTTGAAGGCACAAGTGCTGGATGCCCTTTTAGCATCAGGCCTGGGAGAGCTGCTGCTTTGCGGTCTCCCACTCTTGCCCCTGTGACAGCTTCAGTAGCTCTGTAGGTTGTTTTACATGGAAGTGGTTGCAGACTGGATGCTTGAAGGCCGTTCTGACAGTGACTGTGATTCTTTGCTATCTTTGTGGTAGGGTATTCATTCATTCAGTTCAGATATTTCTTCATACGTTTTTAGAAGGCTGTTCAATCAAAGGATTCCTTGGGTTGAAGTGGAAAGAGATTTTGGAAAGGTGAATGGAGCTAGGTTGTGTAAGTCAAATTAGTTTCCTCTCTTCTTGAACTGTTTGGTGAAGATGTGTGTTCTATTGCATCCTAGCTTCTTTCCTCCTAAATGGTGATCATCAGCATTTTCTGATAGATGACCTGATGTTTACGTTTTTATTCCCCTGAGCTGTTTTTATCTGCCATTTTCTGTGGTTCCAGAGAGAAACTGCAGCCTATAAAGTCTGCACTGTTTCCTCCATATCTCAGCAGCCCTTTATTTTTATGCATTTTGATGAGTGCTTTCTGTAGGGATACAGGTGATTCTGGTTGGAAGCAAAAATGTTAAAAGCAAAGTAAAGATCACTGTTCTGGGTCGCCTGGAAAAGTCTGAGCATGCACAGCCTGTGAGGTTGTGCTAAAGACAGTCTCTTATGTGCTATTTTGTTCCAAACTTCCAATCAGGAGACAAATTGTGGGGTTGGTTGCTTTGTTTTTTGCCTTAAATCATCAAGGTTTGCGTTCCATACCAAAGTGTAAGCAGAACCCACCCTTTATTGCAGACTTGCTTCCCCCCCACCATGGGATTGGGAAGAGGCAAAGTGACAGCTGCAGAATGCCTCTTGAGACCAGCCTAACTGAGGTTTCTGACAGCTTGAGCATGTCCTGGATGCTGATTCTTTGCTGCCATTGCTTCAAATACTCCAGCAGCTGCAGTATTTATAAACACAACTGCAAATGGGGTCTTCCTGGTATATGGGAGAATGCCCGCAGTAATGGAAGCAGCTTTCCTTCCAACAATTGCAGTGACTCCAGTGTCTGAGTAACAGCAGAAAAAGGGTCACATAGGAATAGTCATACTGGAGCAGAAAGCTGTTTGTCTGCTACAGATTGTTTCCTGCAGAGCATCATGTATGGCTTTTTGTCTTTGGCTGAGTATAAGTGATTGCAGAACTGCATGTGGTTGCAACCTATTTTAGGTTGTTTTGGTGTTGTTTCTTTTTTTTTTTTTCCTTTGAACTAGAAACTTAATTGTTTTTCATAAGCTGAAGCTTGGCTGTAGTTAGGATGCTGTGGGCATGTCTGTTACCTACTTCCTGCATGATGGCATTTGATATGTTGCTTGGGAGAAGTGTTTTTTCCCTTCCGTCCCCCGCAAAAAAAAAAGAAGAGGTACCTCGGTTCTATCAACCCATTCAGATCTGTTGCAGTGGATCTGATAGCAGTTCTCAGCCCCTCATTTCCCTGAACAGAACTCGTATCTCATGGCTGGTTTTACGTGTTGCTGTCTATGGATTTGTTGAGTCTAGCAAGTGGGGCTCATCAGTTTGGTTGCGACTCGCCTTATCCTGTATCACCATGCTGCTGCATGCTTTATTTAGAAAGGTTTAAACCTTTAGATCAAGGCTGGAGATAGGCAGCTACAATTAAAGCAAACAGAAATCTGAATTCTGGTCGGTGCTTAACTGGTTTGCTCCCCCACATCCTCCATCTGGAACTCTTTGATGTGCTCTTACTCTTGAGGATTACACAAGCATTGAGTACTGTAGGTTCTCAAATGGCACTCCCAATTCTGAGTGACTCCTCATTGCAGCTACTCTGCTTGCATTTCTCTGAAGCTGTGTTTTGAGTCCTAAATGTGAGTGTCCTTGGTGAATTTTCCCACAGTTTAATGCCTATTTTTTTCTGCTCTGTAGACTGGCTGACTCCTCCCTGTTCCATTTGTTTTGTCACTTTGTACCGGAGTAAATAAATTTGTATTTGACAAAACATTGATTACATATGTATTCTTCTGAACTGCTAAACTGTGATGTATTTTTGGACACAACAGAGACACTATGTAAGACATTGACAAAGTTATTGGTGTTATGTTACTCCAGTTGAGCATTGTGATGACACTTCAGGTTATTGGAATCACTGCACTGCAAACAGTTGCATTTGGGTACACAGACTCATCTCCTACTGTGCACAGATAAGATGCTCCTCAGTGAAGCTGAGAGATGTCTCCTAATAGGACATGTGGGAACATAAAGTCAAGAAGTAATGGTGTGAAATGATTCTTCTCTACAGTGCAAGGGAGGAGTCTAACCAGTCACTCAGCCAAAGTGATCACACAGTGTACATCAAAGTGGCAGACTGCACCCTCCTAACTGTATGCTGGGCCAAAGCAGTTCTGGTGCTAGAGGTTAGCATCTGCAATGATTCTTTCTTAGCTTGAATGCTGAGACTATTGGAGCCAAACTTGGTTCCCACAGTTAAGCACTAAGACTCTTACTAGCTGTCTGTTCAAAATTCTGGTCAGTGACTTATTCATGTTTACAATGAAAGCTTCTCCAGAAATGAAAGGTGCAGAAAGCGTGTGACAGTTATCTCAGTAGAATTTAAAGAAGCTTTTTTTTTTTTCTTTTTCCCTTAATTAACTTTACATTGATACAGAATAACTGATTTCTGATAGGATTCTGAGTAATATCCTGAATATATACCTTCACATTTTGGCAGTGCAGGAGCACACCTGGTTCTGCGTGCTGTGGGCACTGCTGAGTGCGTGAATAATCTTGGATGAGTGAGAGCGGAGACTTTCTGTGATGGACAATGATTTTCTTTTCCATCTTCTACATTTGATCAAATGAATATGTAATAAAGATTCTACTTGGTTTTCTCAGAATTGCTTACCATGAGAAAAATGGGAAAGGAAGCATCTTTTTAAGAGAAGCGTGTTGGGGCTGTCATCTCAGCCTTGAGCTATCTTTTCCTCTCCTGTATGCTATGAATCATTCACTGAGGTCTTCTTCTGCAGATGGCCTGTCATTGCCTTGCACCATTGCCTTGCTTGCCTGTGGGCTTATCTTGACTTTTTTTCCCTACTACAGCAGTCTTTCCTTTGGCTTTGTTTTGTCCCCAGTCTCCATAATCTAAAAGCCTCTGCTGTTTTTAAATCTCTCTGACACTAGGACAGACCAACTCTTTGTCCTCACCTCATTGGGTTATGTTGTGGTTGGACTTGATGGTCTTGAAGGTCATTTCCAACCTGAGCAGTTCCATGATTCTGTTCATTTGTTTTAGAGAACTATTTCATTCCGTTTGTTGCTATGCATACATGGAAAGAAACTGACCATTCCTTAAAGAAAACAGTGTATACCATCACCAACTATTGAGCTTAGAACAGTACTTGGGCTTTTAAATTCTTCTTTGTGATGTTACAGATTGGTGAATGAAGCACACCAAGAATGATGTTGAATTTGTCAAGTAGGATGGACTTGCTTCAAAATTAGCTGGAATTATTTCTTTGTTTTTGAACTTCGTTGAGGGCTGTGTTTAAGGAGCAGTGAATATATTGGAATGCACTCTTAATGTCTAATACTGATTCTGTGAGCTGTGTAACGGCTGATTCTGGACTAACAGGGAGAAGAGAGTGTTTCTAGCTAATTTAACTTCACCATTTCTCTACATTAGTTTTGGAAGGAATAGACTGCTCTACAGATGCTGCAGTATTTTGTTCTTTATTGCAGGGAGTTTCTGGAACAACACGGTGAATTCTGCCCGGTCTGTATTTACATGCGAGATGAGGTAAGGCAGCAAAGCCTTCTTAACTGTCCTTTCTTCTGCCTCTAAAATATAAGGAAAACTTAGCCCTGCTTTCCAACCTGGAAAGTGTTTCTTTTGAACTTTTTTGAGAGGGGAAGTAGAAAAATGTTGATCTTTTCAAAGCCTGACGAGTCTGTATGGAAAAAAGTTCTCTTGGAACATAACCCTGGGCCGGTTAGACCTCTGAGCCCATAAAATGAGCTCAGTGACCTGTTTGTGTTTTTCTTTCCAACATCTTTTAAAGCTCGAGTCAAAACAGTGGTTTCATTTTAATAAATATTTGCTTTTCTCCCTGTTTTTGATCTTTTGCTATTAATGTTTTGTTTAAAATTTTGTATGTGTGTATTATGGAATTTGCTCTCCCTAGCAGTCCCCTTTACTTCCCACTGACCTCTGTGGACATATTGTCTTTATTCTAGAACAGGTCATTACAAGCAGATGGGAGGTGTGTGTAATGAAATCAGCCATCTCTTAGCTCAGAGATGTTGCCTGGTTGATCTGCTGACACAAAAATCTTGCTTTGCTGTGGCTGGATCAGGTTTGATTGTACACATGGGACAGAAACATATATCTTATTTTCTATGAAGATAATTTAGTAGTGAATTTGTTAAAGCAATACAGGTGAATACAGATGGATTCAGGTTTCATTTCTAACTGCGGGGTGTTTTGAGCTGTTTCTGGTGCTATGTGGTGGTTGTTTTAATGCAGACTTCTTTCTACAGCGAACTCTTTACATACTCTCAGGTAGGCAGTTGCTGTAATTTCTCCTCTGTTTGTTACAGATCTCAGGAAAAGATGCACTAGAGAAGACAACGCTGAAGTCACTTGGCCTGACAGGAGGCAGTGCTATTGTCAGGTTGGGAGGAGCAAGTTTGAGCTCTTTGTTTTGTATTTTCACTCCAGTGAATTTGTTTTGTTCAAGTATCAGGGAAAAAAGCACAAAAAAATGTTAAAAAAGACAAACATCACTGTGCTCAGTAATTACTGTATTTGCCTGTTTATCTGAAACTGTTGCCCAGATGTGCTTCCCACAGCTGCAGATGCTGGCACCGACCAGTTGTACGGATTAAAGGGGCTTGTTTGCTTCTTGGTTTTTTCATTTTGTCTTTTTGTTGTGTTCTTTTTCTTTTCTATCTCCCCTCCCTCCTCTAATTTTCTGCCTTTATTTATTTATTTATTATTTTAAGCTCTCAAACTCTGCAGTGCCTCCTGCTGACTTCCTGGTATGATAAGGAGGGAGTTGGTGATTGTGCAATCATCAAGCTAGTTCCTTCCATTCCTTACAATGTGGATGGAAGGCAAAAATTATTAAAAACTGTCCTTTACAACTGACTATTGTTTTTTGTTTTTTTTTTTCCTTAAAGCTAATTTTATTCTCTTCCTGTGGAGAGAGTAGTTCCTGTTCTGTTTTTACCCCCTTCCTAATTTCAGAGCAGTCAGAATAAGCAGATTATTAAAATATAGTCTAGCCAACTCCATTGCATCTTGGTCGTGTTGAGAATGGGAAGGACAGTACTGCTACTAAAAATGATTTATTTTTTTGTGTGTGTGTCGTCTTTTAAGGGTTGTCATGAAGAAATGCAGTTTGTCTGGTCAGGAGGAAGCAGTGGATACCACAGCACAGTGTGATGAGCCAGTAGTAAGGCCAAGCTCTACTGATGGAGCAGTGGATGTGCCCCTACCTCAGACACAAACAATCCCGCCAGTCGTGGATCACAGGGATGAGGCCTTGTCTTTAAACAACTGCACGGACGAGCAAGACTCAATTACAGAATCAAATGCCAGCTTGGATGAGCCGTGTCCTCCCTCAGAGTCCAAGTCTACCCCATTTGTCCCTTTTTTTGGAGGTGGACAACGTCTGGGGGGCTCTTCTGTGTCTGCAACACCTCTCGAACTAGATATGCCATCTTCAGAGCTGCCAACAACTTTCTCTAGCCCTGGAGGCCCTTCTAAGCCAAAGAAGTCTAAGAACAGCCAAGAAATGCAAAAGGAACAAGAGCAGGTAAAATAATTTGTTTGCAGTCAGTCTTTGTATTTTCCCTCCCCCTTAGCTGAGCTCCTGAGAGGGGAAAGATATTTTAATATTTGTGTTAGATGCCATGATGTCATACATAGAGTTCTGCCAAGAAAGTGCTGCATTTTTACTATAGAACTTAGGAAGGCTGGATGTTTATGAATTTGCGTGCTGTCCAGAAGTAAGAAAAACTTTGAATGTTGAGATATTTTTAAAATGATTGGTTGTAATGGAGGCAAGGCAAGTTTAGAAACGTAGTCCAGAAGCACTTTTATTTCTGCCTTAAATTTCATAAAAAGCTAAATTTCTTTAACAAATGCCTGCTGTCACCTGAGCCCTTTTTGTCTGCTCTCCTCTGTGTAGTTTTACTACAGATGAGCAGAATTTGGCCAGGCTTGTGTTTTGTAATTCTCTGGAGATGCTTATTGCTGCATGTGGCTGACTTACCTTCTGTGTGATCGGCCAGATATATGCCTGGTACATTTTCCCATCCTGAAAGGGATTACCTTTCTACTCATTGTATGTTCATGTCCTAGGAGTGGAAGTAGTCTTAACAGGTATGTTGCAACTTGATTTCATGCCTATCATATGCTTCTAAGGTCTGAGAAGACTGTGTTCCTAACTCTTAAGCTGTAAGGCATGAAACACTGAACTGTTTGTGATTGTAAAAGCAGTATCCCATACTGCTGGTTGTTAATATCTGCTTCCTCAGGTCTTCTGTTTGTAGTCACTCTGGCTTGCTGTTTCTGCTGCTGATGTGGTAAATTGTAATGGCTACAGATACAGGAAAGGAAGTTTTCAGTTACAGTTGCATCAGTCTTGCCGAACTCTAAATATCAGAAAAATGAAGTCTGGATCTCTTCCATTCAGTCTTTCATATACAGGTTTATTCTGTCTTGCTTTAAAATATCCTGTTTCTTCAATAAAGCCTATCTTTCTTTAACTCTTTTTCCACGAATGCAAACTGTGCATCTATCTGTGTTGTTGGTGTCTCTGAATTAAAAATATATGGGTTAAAAATAGAAGTGCTGTGACCCATATAGCAATACCAGAACTGATGATTCAAGAATGCTACGTCATCATTATAGGATGGTCCCTGAATAATGTCAAGTATACTTTCTGTAGGGCAGCAATACAGAATTGGGTGCCTTTGGAAAGGTTGGATATGTCTGCTAAGTAGCATTGTATGAGAGCTATTAGCAATATTTCCATGTTAAGTTATGAAGCTGTGTGTTGGGAGCTTCATGTCCCTGGTTCTCTGTGACCGGCTCCTTCCTTTGTCCCTTCACTCCACACGTCATCAGGATGGCTGGATTTAATCTTCAGAGGTCTCCTTTGTTGTTTCCCAGTTTTTAGTACCTCTTAGAGTTGGAGTTTGGTGTTTATCTTTAGTTCTGAACCAGCCGAGGGATTAAACAAAGGAAAGCCATATGTAGGAAGAAAAAGATGCCTGATGCAGTTCCAAGGGAGCTCAATCCAGGAAGAATTTAACAAGGCTATGCGTGTGCCCTCACACTGATGTAGAGATTCTACCTTGGTTGACTTCTTTGTGGTTGCAGTCAGTTCTTGATGAGTTTCAGAGTTGTTTAGGAGAAGCCAGACCCTGGAAGGACTCTGGAGCAGTTACAAATGTAGCAGGAAGAAGCCTTGCCAACCCAGTGGTGAATGTTTTAGTATATTAGAAACATGTTTGGGTCCTTTTAATCAGTGTTATTTAACCTTTTGGAACAGGCTCTGAGCATGGAGGGCTAAACAGTAGGCCGTGCAATTTGTCCAGTGTAATGCATTGCTTGCTTCAGTGACACTCTCACCTATGAGGGATTTGGAAAGGAGGAGTTTCAGTTGTATCTGAAAAGGAAGGAAAAGCACCAGCGTTTGCTGCTATTCTCCATCTGCAGTCTGCGCTTCTCTGCATGCTGACTGGAGAGACAGAGCTGATTTTATAATTGTACTGGCTACAGCTTAATGGGAAGCTGTGCTGATGGGCACAGAGCTGTGCTGCAGTGGCCTGGGGACTCTTGTGTGCAATCCAGAATCTTGTTCAGAAGTGCAGTCCAGTTCAATCCACTCGGAGGCACTTTGGGAACTGGCTTCCCCTCCAGTTTGAGAGCAGCCCTGGGAGCAGCTGCAGATTCTGTTGGGGGGGGCTCTGCCCTTGTGTTAAACAGCATGTGATTTTTGACTGCTGTTTTCAAGCTCTTTGATCTCTGGTGCTTTTGCAGCTGATTGATTACATTTTGCTCCTCCTCCATTCCTGCCATCCTCTGCTCTCAGCAGCAACAGCAGAGCGGAGCTAGCCACATGGCATCTGCTTTTTGTCCCTTTTCAGTCCTGAGGGGGGAAAAACAAAACAAAACAAAACAAATTATTTTTAAACATCAAAGGTCCATTTTTGTAAAAGAATCTTCCCATTAATGCTTTGCCTGTGTGTGGTTTTTGGAGCCGAAGAGAGGCTGGATAAAATCTGTGCTGGCGTCCCTTCGTTTCTTAGGCTAAAGATGGTTTACAGACAGCTGCGTGCTGACTTTGATGTCAGAACATTAATTATTAGAAGGTAACATTACACCAGATTCCCCTGGAGATTAGAGCTCCCTGAGGTGGTGGGGAGGAGGTGGGTCTCCAAGGAGATCTTACAGCTCTGGAAAGCACAACAGCCTTCACTATCCTTAAAGTTGGATAAAGGTTTTCCTCAGCTCGCCTTCTTAGGGCCAGAGCAGCGACCTTGGAGTGAATTGCTTTCCTTGCAGTTGATGGTATGGCATAGACTGCAGTTACATAGCTTGTGTAGCAGACACTGCTGTGAATAGATGACTTCAGCCCACTGTTGGGAAGCGTGTGATGTTATGGCTTTGGTTGTAGAAGCAGAGACTTTGAAGAATTGCTATTTTGGGAAGGTGACAAACCATAACGCAGGCAGGTATTGCTGCAGAAAGATGGCAGCAGGTGTGTAATTCTTCTGAGTTAGATAATGGAAGGTAGAAACTGCCTTACAGTCACCTTTCACTGCCTTCTGTCGTGCAGAGAGTGCCACACCTGGGCTGGAAAGTAATTTGGTTGGCCTGGTGTGTTCTGTTTCCAAAATCGCCCTTGGATTCTCCCTGTACCTTTGGCTGGTGGGTGATGCGTTGCAATAAAACTGTATTGAAAGTACTCAGATTGTGAGGTGCCTGATGGGAATAGCTAAGTGAGTAAATGGTAATGGATAAGGAAATGGGGATGGGGTGGTTGGTTACTGGGCTTTGGGGAAGGAGAGAATTGATGGAGCAATAGCAGAACATTTTCTCTCTGAAGAGTGTTTCTCATGCCTGTAAGGAGGCAACGTGTCTGGATGATTCCAGCGGGTGTGAAATGTGTAGCAGAAGAGATGTGATGATGTGGCAGCTTTTGCATCCTCAGGGGCAGAACAGTCATGTCTTCTGGCTGCTGAGCAGTGCCTTATAGATACCTCATGCAGCTCTTTGATCGGAATCACAGTGCCACGCAATTCTGAAATCAAATTGCAGAAGCTTTGAAAAACAAGCTCAGAATGCTTGGATCATTTTTCACTCATTACAGCTCACTCCATAACTCTCGTTGTTGTTGGGACTGAGCTGAAATTGTCATGCTAGGAGATTCTTACTGTAGTGATGTGTGCTCGCAGTCTTGCTAGATGTTCACATATCTGCTCCTCAGTACAGAAAATTTTCTGTTTCTTCATGTTAAGTTGCAGCTGAGTGCTGTGTCAGTTTGGAAGTCCATGTCAGCAGTATTCAGGCTAGGAAACAGGAGAAAATCACACGGCCGTGTTTCAGCTCCCATCTGTCTGTGCTGGGCTGATGCAGGTATGCTGCAGAGTTAAATGGAGACATCTTGAATGGGGCATTTATCTATGGGAAGTAGAATGTTTTGTGTCAGCACGTGTGTAGTTCCAGTAGGCTGGAGAATGGCAGTGGGGGGGACGTTCCACAAGTCTTTTCTCTGTATGCGTGTTTTCAGAGTGAAATGAGACGTGCCTGATGGGTGGGGAGGCTGGGCTAACCCTGATGCCAGCCTGGCCTTCCCAGCCCCTGTTTGCAGCACTGAGCCCTACTGTGCTGCTCAGCATCGCTCCCTGCAGCAGCCCCGCGTTCCTCCCTGCGCCCAGGGAAAGAAAGCTGCAATCAGGGTCTTTCACCCTCTAGTTACAGCGGGCTCTGCTCAGCTTTCTAAATGTAGCCAAGGGTCCCACCCATACAACCTCGCTCTTCTAATTTCTCAAATTACCCTTTAGTGCCCGCAAATAGAGTGGATGTTGCCTTGTAATTTGTTGTCTCTTTTGACAATTGAAGGAGACTCCTTCTGTTCCCAAGGGGCCCGTGCCTGGGGGAAGGGAGATGGAGGGCAGGCGTTCAGGCATTCATTTGGATTGGAAAGAATATATAGGGGAATATAGGGGGGAGAAATGGGAAACAGATTTATTCGTAGAGCGTAGGGCTGTAAAGAAATGCTGTATTAACTATCAAAACTTTTGTTCTCGTGGGGCTCCTCAGTCATGGACTGCTTCCCCCTGCAAATCCTGCTGCCTGTAGTATAGTGCACTGCTTCAAGGCTCTGGGCATTTAAAGATGTCCATGGCTTAAAAGGTCTGAATTGTTCAAGAGTATGTAGACGTATAACAGCCTTATGTGTATGTCACCCTTATAGTGGTTATGTTCACAGTCAGTGCCAAGTACTTTTTAAAGTGCAAAGCAAAAGGGTTTAGTTGTCTAAGGCAGTTCTGTGTGTGGGATGAGAAGGGTTACATACCAGAAACTGGGTCAAAAAGTTGAAACGTGATAAAACCCCACAGTGACTGAGTTGAGAGAACTCAACGGGTAAAAGGGTGGCTGTTTAGAGTAAGAAAAAATGGGTCGAGACCTGACTGAGAACTGTTGCTCTTGGCTCTATGGCAAGAGAATGCAAAGCAAAGAGAATGGAAGGTATGATGACAGGCAGGAGTACATGGCATATAAACAGCTTAAAAGGGCAGTTTGTAAGCTCTGGTACTTAGAATAGCACCTGTACTCATTGTGTGATGCCTGTGGGATGGTGAGAGAGTGGAGTACTTCCTTTGTGTCATGAATTCTCAACTACTGGTTGTAGTTCAGTTTTGCAAACACTCATTTTATTCAGGAACCTTACAGTGTAAGCAAAGCAGTGCGTTGAAGACTAATCCACACCTGTTTTTATTCTGTAGCTTGTAGAACGAGAGCCACTTCTGTGTCACCCAGACCTGCTAGATCCACTTCCTGCTGACCTGGAAGACCTTCCTGATGAATTTTTTGAAGTCACGGTGGATGATGTACGGAAACGTTTGGCACAACTGCAGAGTGAGAGGCAAGTTCCCTTTCTACTGGTGACTGTGTTTGCTTCATATCCTTTTGCTGAGTGCAGTCACACTGTGCCCCTGTTGCTGGCTGTGATTTCTGGGGTAAGGGTTGTAGGTAAGTTACTGGCTATGGAATTAATGATAAGCATTGGAAATCTCCACCCTTCGTGCAGTTTGATTTCAAAGGCTATGCCATATTTCTGTTTAAAGAACCTTTGTGTGTGAACTAGTTAACTGTTTGTGTTTGGGTTAATTGTCTCACTTGAAAGCTTCACTTGAAATTTTCATCATGAAGTCTGTGATGCCTGGGTGGTGATAAGTTTATCTGAGAACCTCGAGCTAGTCAGGACCAGTCCCTCACCAAAAAAAGGAGTGAAAGAAAGGCTCCTTCCTGTCTTCTACACTTCAAAGAGTTAATCAAAGCTACTTAACACCCCATCTCTTTTTTTTTTTTCCTTCTCCTTTCTTCTGAAAGATAAGCCACTGTCTTTTATATTAGATGTGCTATTATTTGCTGGAGGCTCAAAACAGTGGTGAACTCCTGTTTTGATTTGACTTCATATTAACTACCAGGAATTAAATGGCTGGAATTAGTAACTTGTAATGGACAAACATACGAGCACAATGCTACAGCTTCTTAGGAGTAACTCCCACTAAGAAAGCATCAAAAGCAGCGTGACAAGCATGTCAAGAGAGGGGATTCTCTCTCAGCTCTGCATTTGTGAGGCCCTCCATTGGAGTACTGTGTTAAGCTTTGGGGCCCTCAGTCTAAGAGAGATGTACTTCTGCTGGAGAAGGTCCAGAGGAGGATCTTGAGGATGATCAGAGGGCTGGGGCACTTTTCCTATGAACAAAGGCTAAGAGAGATGGGGTTGTTTAGTCTAGAGAAGAAAAGGCTCTGGGGAGACTTTATAGCCTTCAGGCCTTTTAGTACCTAAAGAGAACCTACAGGAAAGCTGGGAAGGGATTCTGTTGGGAGTGTAGTGATAGGACAAGGCAGCGACTTTAAACAGTAGGTTTAGATTAGGCTTTGGGAAGAAGTTCTCCACTTTGACAGTGGTGAGGCACTGGAACAGGTTGCCCAGAGAAATTGTGGATGCTCTGTCCCTGGAAGTGTTAAGGCTGAGTTGGATGGGGCTTTGAGCCCATGGCAGGGAGGTTGGAACTAAATGATCTTTAAGGTCCTTTCTAAACTAACTGGTTCTGTGACTTCATTACAATTACTAGCTTTTTCAGCTAGAAAGAAAAACCTTATGTTCTATGAAGCAGTTCTGAACTAAAAACTTACCTTAAGGTAAGGTAGCCTCCCTGTCACAACAGCATTCGGCTGTCTATATGTTCTCAACTAGGCTAATTTCATCAGTGTATTTATTTTTAAGAGCATCACAACATTCCTTCAAACTCTGCAAGCAATCCATGAAACTACGCTATAGCCAAGATGAGTTGGAGCTGGTTTTTCTCCCCATAGACCTCTGAAATCCACATGAGTACACAGATGGGCTTGAAAATTGCTCTGCCACTTGTGGGTCTGGAGCAGTTAGTGGTACAAATGTAGGGTCATTTGGTTGGGGGTTACTGGAATTCAGCCCCCTCAAAAATTTCCTCATTTCCAAATTTGCTGATGCTTGTAATCCTTTTCCTTCCTCACAGCCAGGGATAAATATAAAGACAAGTTCCACATGAAAGTGATATCAGTTGGCTTCTGATCTGAGCTGCTGAATCTTACTAAGGACTAGATGCATGCAGGGGAGTATTTTATATGCAATTAGAACTTAATTCTGATTTCATGAAGAGACAAGAATTGATATCAGAAATTGGTACACAAAGAAGAAATGATGCAGATTAATTTCATGATTGCTTTTCAAACCGTGAGTAATATTTTCAGAGCATTTTAGAATGTGGAGTACCAGCAGACAGTTCTGAGTACAATAGGTGAAGTAAGCCTGTAGTGGTTTTGTTTAGCAGCTGTTGTTCCTGAGGTACCCTGGTGATTCTCAAAAATAAAGAGTCCTTCAGACTAGATAGGCATAGGGGATATCTTACAAATAGTTGTGCATTACTGTAATTATATGATCAAATGTTTCATCAAAATGTATTCTGGTAAATAGGATATTCAGAAACAAAGAATAGGTCTGAAGCCAAACATGGGATTGAAAGGGATCTGTTGGATCTAAGCTTCTTTCTTTACTTACAGAAAAAAAAAAAGTGTATGTTTTTGTGAATGCACTGTTTCATCTCAAATACTGTTGTGAGAGATACGTGGAACAATTGAGCCATTCTCATCAGTTTTGCTTGGACCTTATACTTTCTTAATAAAATCGAAATGTATCTTAAATGTACTGAACTGACAGTTTGCTGTCTTGCCGTGTTTCTAGGAAACGCCTGGAAGAAGCTCCACTGCTGACCAAATCTTTAAGGGAGGCTCAGCTGAAAGAAAAGCTAGAACGTTACCCAAAGGTAGCCTTTGTTCTTTTCCTAGTCCTTCTGGCTAGTCCAAAGGTGGGGGTTAGTAGCTTTGTGAACCAGATGAGAACAAGATCTTCAGCTACTCACAGGAGGATGTTGTAAATTCTTTCCTTGTTAATTGTTTGTGGGACTTGCATAATAGCTGTACCAATTAAAATCATCTCTCATGGAATGACATGGTTGAATGCCATGCAGTATAACTCCTTTTGCTTTGTTCCAGATGATGCTTCAAAACCCCCCTTCTTACATGCACACATCATTCTATCTGACTGAACTTTTCTGTCCACCTCTCCTTTGTAAACTGTTAAGTTTCTCATTATGGGTTAAATGCAATGTTAGGGACTAGAGATACCTCACTTTGTAAATATGATCTTGTTGCAGCTTTTGTCTTTGATTTGTTGCAAAGAAATAAGAGATTGCATTCTCAGGTTAGATGCTGTCTGACCAACACTGGAAATAGAATGGTACAAGTTATTTTAGTTATGCTGCCCAGGAGCTGTGTGACTGGCAGATTCCTGCTACCATAGGTGCTTCAAGGTACTGTTTCACTGTCTATACCTGTCCATATTTAGGAGATAGCAATGTCTTTTGAGCATCACTTAGCACAGGAAGCTAACCAACAATGCTGCTGCACTGTAAGAGATAGTGTATGTAAAGATCCAGAGTTCTCTTAAGGCCTTGGGAAGCCAGGCAGCCTGTGTGTGTGCTCTCAGGAGCTGCACAGTAATTACCAACCTGTATGTTTTTCTGTGCCTGGAGAGTAAAAGATTCAAATCTCCCTATCTAAAAAGAAACATACAGATCTGAAGCCAAGGACAGGCCTTTCCAAATGGCCGTGCACAAATGACCTGATGTGCTTTGCCTCTGACTAGGTGGTGTTGAGAGTCCATTTCCCTGACCGCCATATCCTGCAGGGGTTCTTCCGACCTACTGAAACTGGTAAGAGCAGCCTCTGCTGCAGGTGTGCCTGCAGCTCACCTCTCTCAGCACTGTTTAACTGCATGCCAAAAGAGGGGTGGCTCTAGGATGATCTTTCTGCTGTCCAGGGGGAGTAATACAGGTGGGAGGGGGGAGAGGAACAAGCTTTACCTACTATTGTAAGGATAACAGGAGCTGGACATTTCTGCCTCTGTCAGTTCACAAAAGATAAGAAGTCGGACTGTGTGCAGAGCAACCCTTGCTATTATTAATTTAGATCTTATTTTGAGCAGGCAGCAATGCTATTTTTGATACTTCTATATGGTAGGGAAAACTAATAATTAGTTACTAGCATCTCACCTAGCTGCTGTCTGCAAATCTTGGAGCTGCTATTGGATTTCCACAGAAGAACTTGACATGACAGCATTCTTTGATTTTTGCCAGGGAACCATCAGGTCTAAGCATTTTCTCCAAGAGGTTTGCAATGGTAACAAGTGTAGTAGTGTTACTTTGGGCAAAAGGCAGTCTGCAGATGTGACAGAGGATAGTTCTGGAGCTACCTGTTAGCCCTTCTGCCTGGTATCTGAGGAAACAAATGTAATGCAGCAAACTTCTCTCTCTTCCTTTTTTCACAGTTGGAATTGTGAAAAATTTTGTAAGAAGCCACCTTGCAGATCCAGATTTACCATTTTACTTGTGTGAGTGTGCTGTTGCTAATATTTGACCTTACTTCACAAAGCCTGTTCCTAATCATGATGCATATGAGATCTTGTGATGCCATGACACATAATCTGGGGAGGGATGTATATATATATATTTCCCCTAAATATGGCAGCAGAATGCAAAGGAGGAGGTATTATCAGCTCTTAGCCATGTTATGATTCTATCTAATAAGGAGGCTGTGTGGAAGTGTCAGTTTTTTGTTTTGTTTTAAAAGAAAAAGCAGTAATCCCTCCCATATCTTCTGTATTTATTGTTTTGGTTACTGGGTGGCCCTGTTTTGTAACTTGTTTTTTAACTTCAGTTATTGCACCTCCCAGAGTCATCTTGAACGATGAAAGTTTGAAGCTGTCTGAGGTAAGGACACACTCTGTGTGCTCTCTCTGACTTGCTGCTCCCCCTTGCCACCATATGCTTTAGTTACTTTCAAAAGAAGCTAGCTGTGTGCTGCTGTGATCCCTGTAGACCTCTCAGCCACAACTAATGGGACCAGGTGCTTCAGAGCACAAGCTCCTCACCAGAAGAGGTCCACCTTGTGCAGCAATATGTACTTTTTTGTGGCAGGGGTAGGGGCTTTGTACTGTTGTATACATACAATTAGTGCCTTGTCTATGCTGTATTTAACCTTAAAATGTTTAAAACTGTATTTAACCTTAAAAGAAGGCAAGAGCGGTTTGTTGTATTTGTAGCTGGCCTAATACAGTAGGAGATGTGACACTGGATTTGGATAGGTGGCTGTTTTCAATTTTTACGACAAGAAGTAGAGGCTATGTTAGTCACAAATCTGACCATTTTGAAGCTACTGTTTGAGTGTTTAATTTTTCAAATCCAGATTCGTGGACTTTTTTCACAAATGTCAGATTAAGGGATCTTGAAGTTTCTGGCCAGACACATGGCTACTTAAATCACATGTGCAAAGAAAAGTCTGATAAAGAGATTTTACCAGCCATTTTGCCCCACATTCACAATGTTTAAAATGTGGGGTCATTCAGAGCTTCATGGCCTTTTGCACTGGTGGACTGAAGATCACTTGCAGAGAAAAAAGTCAAGCAGAGTGCAGTGAAGGTTTTAGCTTGATGCCTCAGAGAGAGCAGAACGGTGAAATGACAGGAGAGAAAAAGGGACCTTTCAGGCAGTGTGGCAAGTTAGGTAGGCATTAGCATGTGTCTGAAGTTGTTTGTGATGGAGCTTTCCAAATTCCACAACTTCATGACCAGGCCATGTGGATATGATACAAGTGCAGCTGCTTGTAGACTATTGAACATTGAGAGAGACAAAGCGTGTATCCCTGTCCTCACAGGGAGAAATCTCTTCTTCCTGTAAGCTGATAGAGATTCATTGCTGAAATTTGTGGTTTTGGGAGTGTCAGCATTCTTTGTATTGTCACAGTACTTATGACAGGTATAGATTGCTAGAGAGTTCTGAGGTTCTTGGGGATCACAGCCCCATTTGGTTCCATGGTTTAGGAAGTGCTGTGCAGTAGCTCTTGGCCTCTGCCCAGCTGCACAGCCTGAGGACTACTCTGCTTCCATCAGACTTCCTACACTCTACTTAAGCATGTCATCCCTTTGAACGTGTTGTGCAGAAGACTATGCTTCTCCTACCAGACAGGAATGTGAACATGTGTGTCTTGGTAAGAAGTAATACCATGGTGAGTGGGGTGACAAATGATTTTCTTTTCAAAGCCATTTTTGTACGATTTAATCAGTAACAAAAATACCAGTGGAAAACACTTTGTTTCTTTGAAACAGGAGACTTTCCAACTCAGGCATGAAGGCAGTTTCTCCCAGCTTCCTCTGACTTGTGCCATCTCATCCACATCTGCCATTCAAAACATTGTCTCAAGTCCCACATGGTAACCATGATGGGAAATGCAAAAGACAAATTTTGTTTGATTTCTGAGAAACTCCAGGAAAAGGAAACCAGTTATAGTTGCATTGCTAATAATACATTTGGAAAACATTCGGAGGAGCAGCAGATAATAAAAAATGTTATCCACTTGTTAGCTGTTCTGAGGCAAGGGAAGCAGCCTTGGAAATGTGGCTTGTGCAGGCTGTTTGAAATGGCACATGCACACTGCTCTCTGCTCCCACACCTGTCTTTGTCTTAAGCTGTCATGTCTCAACACATCCCTCACCTAGAGTTCCTTTACACACATTTTCTAACATGCTTATTGGAAAGCTTTTTATTTTTTCCATAATTCCAAAGTCTCTCTGCAGCTCTCGACAGCAGATGTCTCCTACAAAAAATGAGTGTTCGTCTTTTTCTGAGATTTGGCTGGGATGCCTTCCAAGCTTTCCCGTCTCAGCCTCCAGCTTCTCTTCTGTTCCTACAAAATATACTGCTTCTTTTCAGTGTCTCTGCAGTGATTTCTTTTCCATATGCCACATTTTCCTCTAGAATCCAATGGGCTTTGAGTTTTGACACTATTTATTTTTTCTTTAAGATCATTTTTTTTTAAGCATCTCCAAGATGCTAAAGATTCAAAATCTGCCTGTAGTTAACCTTTTCCCTCTTCTTGCCTCTTATTTCTTGGATATTTTGCTGTTCCTGAAGTTCTAAGTACTTCAATTTCTGATACTGCTTTATGTTTTGTCTCAGTGTTGGAAAGCACCCTGTCTGCTTGTGTACCTGTCCTTATCACCTTGAAATTGCCTTTCAAGGATTTTCTGGATACCTGTGGTTATCGCTGAGATTTTCAGAGGCAGAGGCTCTTTGAGCCTCAACATAAAACATTCTGGACATCAACTGCTGCCAGCCTGGATGTTTTAGGAATGTACTGTAGCGGGTGGAGTTCCTTTCTGTGTGTTATGGCTAGGAATTGGTTAGTTGGGAATGCTTGTCCAGTGTCAGGTATGGATCACGGAGCTGCACCTGGGTTTCCCAGGATTTATGCTAGCAGTGGGTTATCTTCCAGTTTTCAGGCTGCTGCCTGTAAGGAAAGGTAGATGGTGTCTGAGGTAGTAATGTGGGCACATCTGAGTGTTCAAACAATGATGCGAGTGTAATTTGTATTGAAGCCAGTCACAGGAGTCTCTGCAGATGGTGTAGTATGCTATTATCTCTACACTCTCTCAGTGCATTCAAGCTGATAAGATTGGAACCACATTTATTAAATCTGATAGCTTACAATGAAGAGAGAACATTTATGATATAAGCAAAAGCAGGGAAAATGACAAGTATTGTCAACTTGTTTGCTAAGATATTTGGGCTGAAAGAAATGTCTGAAGTGAATTCTCCTGAAATCTGTGTCCTTACACTATAGTGAGAATGCAGATTTGGTAACAAGGTATTCTGGAACCCGTGAAGACTTCAAGACATTGCTTTGATTTTTCTATTTTATTTTTGTTATTGTTGTTTTTGCTGGCTGCCTTATCCTCACATCTCTTGAAGTGTTTTATAATGTTCTGCTCTCCAGAACTGAACAACCGCAGGCTTCCCTGTTGTAGCATTTGGCCTTGAGTTTCTTACAGCACCAGTTGCCTGTTTGTGCTTCCCTAGCCTAGCCAAACTTCTCAGAGTTGCTCTTCCCTTTCTTGCTCCTCCCAGAACCAGGCACTTGAGTAGCATGTACCTGGAGGGCATTAGTAGAAAAAGTAATTAAGAGCTGAGTTAATACTAGGAAAGAGTTAGCAGAAGGTAAGAATACCAGCCACTGGGAAGGTCAAGGCAGCAAAGAGGGCAGGCGGCCATATTCCCTCTTCAGAGGAGCTGAAGGAATCCACACTCTTCCATGTAAATATTTAGTTTTTTTAATCAGATCTTAGAGTGCACCAAGTGTTTCCTCTGGCACGTACTGTGGGGCAGGAGTGCAGAGGAGCTGTTTGTTCGTTTCTTTGCCTTCGGTTCTGTTTCCATATCCTATTCATTAATGCCATTTTGGGCAACACGTCTGGCATTCTGTTTGCTGAAGCTGACTGGCTTGGGCAGTGTGAGGCCTTCTGGCTTTTGGCAAGAGTCTGAATGCAGTTTCAGAAGAAACTTCTTCATGAGAGTCTTTCTACCAGAGGTACTTCCAGTGGCTGGTCTTGGTGTTTCTCCACTCACTAATAAGGAAAATCAGAATTAATAGTGAAATTCACACAGAGGATGACACTCACCTTCCTGCGTGAAGCCTCAGCCCTTTATTACCCATTCAGGATTTTCTCATCTAAGTAGGTTTTGGTAGGAATCTTACTTCCTATTTGTCATGCTAGTCCTGGTAACTCGTCACGGCTGTACATACTTGCTTCTTGTGCTGGTTTGGATTAGGGCAAGGCAGTGCAGTAAGGATGAGGCCTTTCTTGCACGGCTTAGTTCAGAGTGGAAATTCTGCCAAAAATATTCCCTCTTCTACTATTAATTTCGGAGGCCAAATCTTTCTGATCTCAGCTCAAGGGCTCAATGAATACTCTATACCTGGATTCCTTCTTAAGTAGCCTTCTCAAAATAGTGCTTTCAAGTCTTATCTTTGCCTTATGAATTTTAAAGGGCCCCTGTTCAAGCTGGATCAGATTTCCCCCGTATTGGCTGCAGAATATCCATCTTCTTTTGCAGTTGCAGTCCACATTGAGAAGCTTTGTTCTCAGGTTATAAACAAGAACCACTTAGTCACTTTGCCCCTTTCACCATGGCTGTGGTGTTTATTTCTGTTTCAGCAATGCTTTGCAGTCTTGCTTGAGGAAGCTTTTGATCCACCGGCTTTCCGGTTGAATTTTCCAAGGGCAAGTTTATGTGTTTGGGGTGTGTGTACTATGCAGTATTTCATGTTGGTAGCTTGGGTTTCTCCTTCCATGCGCGTGTTCCTTTGAAGTGCTTATTTTCTTATTCATCTTTTAACATCAAACTAACAGCAGACCTGTGGCACTCTAATCTTTTCAGATCATGTAACGGAAAGAATGCTTCTCATTCTGGCAGCTGCGAGCTCCCCTTAGACAACAGTCCCTGCCTGATTTGAAAGCATCATTCTTTCTGTGAGCAGAATAACTGCACGGTAATAATGGACATAATTTGCGGTACTCGGTTGTGGGATTTTTGGAATGCGTGCCTCTAGAAGTGCCCACTGAAGGAAGAAGTGTTGAGATGGTATTGAGGGAGGGTACCGTCTGAAATCGTTTTTGTGCTCTAGAGAACAAATGACTAAAACATGCAATAAAAAAAAAATCAGAAATATTTCTCCTGTGCGTCACATTTGGATGCACAGTGGAATTTTGTTCTAGGATAGATATTTTTATCATGACCCAATATACCACTCTACAGCCAGGATGCCCTGCTGTCATAAACCATGCTCACCACTGTGGTATCTGAGTAACTTCACTTGGGTTGTCTGAAATAGAATTTTGGGTTACTGTAGCTACAGAGTTTGAATGTGGCTGTGTGAGCAACAGGCTGGTCTTCAGACAGCAGAAACAGAAAGCGTGAATCTCATCTTGTACCAAAGCAAAGTGATGAAGCTGTGTTACTGAGAAGTGTTTGAAACCTAAGGAATTGTTTGTTAGGAATGACCCTCTTTAAATACAGAAGGTGATAAGCAGGACAGTGGTTCTTCTGCTTCTTGCCTCATTAGTGACTGACTATGACCCTGGTTGGTATTCTGGAAATATATATTTAGTTGTCATTCTTGCCACTGCCATTTTGTGTGGCCTTGAATAAGTTACTTATTCTCATTAGATCTCAGGTTTTCATTGGTACAAAAAATTGTAGTTTCTTAAATTTTTAATTTACACTGTGTGTTGCTTTTAATTATGCACACATACATATATATACTGCACACTAGAACATCATTTCCAGTCAGATTTCTGGGTACTCTTGCAGTAAAAATAATAATCTAGCTACATCTTGCAAATAAACCTCATACAATGTGATTTGAACATTAATTCCATAGGTTACTAGTTTTAATTTTCCTTGGAAGAGTAGCATTGTACCTTTGACTGGAAATGAAGGCAAGGAAGCAAGCAAGGAAGAGAAATGCTGGATATTGCAGTGTGGTAACTAGCTGTTGACTTATGTTGTAGTAATTCTTCACGTATAACTGAGTGGAGTTTTTTGAATGTTTGTTTTAAGCAACCTGTGATTTGGTTGGTTGGTCTGCTGCACCCAGTGTAACTGTAAGAGGTTTCTAAATCTCTCTTGGCTCAATGATATTCTTAAAAGAATCCTGTGCAATGAATTTAAGACTGCAAGACTCATCTTCTAGGGCCACAGATGCATGTAAGTGGAAAAATTACTGATCTAAGAGTATGCATTTTGAATAACACTCTGCCCAACATGTGACTTCTGCTTTCAAAGCAATGTTGGGGAATATGAAAGGCTCCAGCTTTCTGGTTGATATTTTCCTGTCCTGAGGATACTAACACCTTCTCACCTTTATGCCAAGGCACTCCTTGATGGGTGAGGTTATTCCACTCTGTGTGCATATTCCTACTTATATCTTTATATTTAGTGTTGCAGAAAGCTCTCAGGCAGTGTGTCCTGCTGGTGGGTGACTGGCTGGAGAACTGGTGAGGTAGCAGTGAGATGCAGCTGGCTGTTTCCTGTACTGCACCCAAAGTGAGCCCTGAAACAGAGGGTGACACCTGAGAATTCTGAAATGAGAAAACTGGATAAGGGATGGTGTGAGCGAACTGTTATTCTGGAGAAAGATTTGAATGCAAAAACTTATCGGATATAAATTTGGTAACAGATCCCTGTTGGCTGAGCACTGGGAAGGGGCAGTGATGGAGGGAAGTGAAGGTTGTGTTATGTGTGCCTGTGAACTGCTGTCCAGTGCCTTTAAGTTAAAAGATTTTGGATTGATGTTTTGCCAGCAGTGGGAAATGGTTGTGGTGGTAGAGCCTGAAATTCAGAACTAAGATTATTTGTCAACTTGTGAGTAAATAGGGTAGAGGTTTATATTGGGGCACATTCTGTTTGTGTGTTCCTGTGGCTCTGTCTGTCTGTCTAGCTCTCAGTCTGTGCTTCTCTCTCTCTCTCTCTTTGTGCCTCACTTTGGCCCCGCCATGAATTTTCTCTGACCCCTTGGGGCCATTCCTGCATGGAGCTTTGATGTGTGTGCCCAGAGTTTGATTGACAAGCAAGTTTTGGTGGTGGCAGTGGGGAGAGAGGAGGGCAGGGCTTTGAACTAAAAGGCTTTGAGTTTTGAGATGTTGTGCTTACTTATCTCCTTCAGAATGTTAATTATTTACCAAGATAATTGGGCAGGAGGGGAAAAACAGAGAGGGGAGGTTATTAAAAAATTCCAACACTAACACGCTACAAAAACCTCATTTTCCAACTTGCAGCTGGCATGAAAAGGATGTTGTGTGCAAAAGGGCTTGAGTGTATGTGTGTTTGAGGAGGGGGTGCTGGGGGGGGCTCCCTTTTAAGCCACCCATTTCCTAAATAGAGGGAACCCTTCAGACGAATGCAGCGGAAACATCAAAGCTCTTGGAAGAATTTTCTCTGAGGTTTCTAAACTGTGGCTGGTACTTTTTAATTAAAAAGTTTATGGAGAGCTGTCTTTGTGACTGGAGCAGGCAGTCTTAGCTGCTGTTGATTGAGGACTAACATGTTAAAAAGACCTAGTAAATAATGATTTCTGCTAAAATGACACTTGGAGGATGTGAAGATCCCTGGTCGCTAGGCAGGAGCTGAGGCTGGGAGTAGACAAACGGATGTCTCTTCTGCTTTACTCTAACATGCAGGCCTTGCTACTTAGGAAAGTCTACAGAACCTTTTGGATTAATGTCCAAAAACTTGCAATGCCACATACCTGTTGGGATTTGTACCAGGAAGATAGTTGAAGCTGATTCATCTCACCTCCAGTTTATCCATCTTGATTAATCTACATCTATATATCTAGGTGGGAATCCAGAGGCTCCCCTTTTCAGATCTGTTGGCTTTTTTTGTTTGTTTGTTTTGGTTTTTTTTGAGATATTATAGTTGCTTTGCTGGATGAAGCGTCAGTTCCAGTATCCTGATGGTGGCAACAGAGGCTCAAGAAAACTCAAGAGCAGGCAGCCTGCCTGTGCAGTTCCTGGATGTGCCTTGGTAGTAGGAAGAAGAACAGTTGGTGCTGACGGGACCAACTGGTTTGTTTTGTTCAATAAGAGAAATTGAGTGGTGTTATTTTGCCAGAGTAAATGTAGACCATTAGTCAACATTTTCTGTCTCCCTGACAGAAGGGAAAAGTCTGAGTCTGGCTTTATTGCACTTGTGTGCTGGCAAAAGACGAGTGCTTACTGATCATATGCTCTTTAACGTGTGTTCTTTGTGTACTTGAAGAGGTAGGCAGAGAGATTCAAGGTGATGAGGTGTATACACTTTTCTGGGGCCATCATGGGTGGGACAGGCAGTGTTTCCTCTGATGTAGTCAGCTGTTGACATACTGTATCATTTTTATATGGAGGCGATACTTATGGGGTCAGACTCAATGAGTTTACATACTGTAACATGCTTTCATTTGATTCATTCCTTCATGAACTATTTGCATATGTATTCTTTTAAGATGTGACACAGTGTAATTAAAATGCATATTAAGTTAATTATGCTTTGGCTGATGAACATCTCAAATAACACTCACTGAGGAATTGTTGAAAAGCAGGGATTGCAGTGGTGTTCTGGGTTCAGTTCTGAGCATGCTCTGCTCGTTATCATCTCTTTTAGAGGCAAATATATAAATACAAAATAATAATATTTGCAGATAAAATTCATTAGAATGATAAATGCAGATGTGAAGAAGGCAGTCCTATAGTTACTATAATGAGCTAAATGAATGAAAAAGCAGTTTGAATACAGCATTTATCCAAACAAGTAGGAACTAGCAGTTCAAACTGGATTGAAAACAAATAGGTTGTTGGCACAATGAGTGTGTTGCTGAACATCTGTGTGTAGGAGAACAGCTTGTGAGTTTTGCTTTATATTTACTGTGAGTGCCCTGTGCTATATGCAAGTTGAGTTTTCTAACTTTTCTGAGTTATAGATGCTTCAGTGACCTGATCTTAAACTCTCTGAATTTGTCCATAGCTGTCTGTCTCTAATGTTTGCAGTAGACTGTGGAAGCATCTACAATCAGTAACCTCTTCTTTTTCCCCTTTGCTGCAGGCTAAACTCTTTCCAGCTGCTGTCATTCATTTTGGATCTGAGGAGCGCAGGGGTGAGTGAGCTTCCTCTCTTCTTTACCTGACTGTTTAGCACCTGTAAAAGACAGAAAAGAATTGTATCAGTATGTTAGGATTTCTTCCAACAAAAGATAATGCAGTCCTTGCCAATGCTGGTAACTGTTCCCCTTCAGAATGGCTAAAGCTCATTAGAGCTGGGTTGGTCTCGTTAAAAGTGGATTTGACTGCAGTTAGCTTAAGCACAAATATAAATATAGTACGTTTATTGTGAGATTTGTTAGGCTGTTGAGCAGGCATTATCTACTATGAGGACAAAAATGAAAGAAGAATGATCCTATAGAAGGAAATTTCACTGTAGAAAATGTTAGCTAGACAGCTGTGAAATGCTCATACATACCTCCTGCTGAGTGGACTGGCTGGAGGTGGGAGAACAGATTGGAGTCCTCAGTTCCCTGATATCTCTGCTTTATACTTAGAATTTCTCTTTGTCCCAGAGATTGAATAATGCTCTTGTTTTGCATAATAGCTCCTCAGATAGAGTGAGCACTGAAAGAAAATGTCAAAATCTCAAGGTTTTGAATGAATGACAAAATAAGATGCCTTGAGTTGTATAAGAAGCAGTCATAGTTTGAAAGTGTCCTGTTTGACAGCTGGTGGAAAACTTGCTGTAGTGTATAGCAGGTACTTGTTGAGCACTGAGCTATGTGATTCTGTGATTGATGTCTTTATGTTACCAAACAAGTGTTTGGATTTCATCAAGTTTCATTTTAAACAGATTGTTACCTGAAATCGGACCTGCTGAGCTCTGCAGTTTCCCCTTCTGCAGCTGATTTATTAATGGCCAGGTATGTTGGAACTGAGTAGAGTTGCAGTTGAGTATTTCAGGGAGGGGGGTGGGGGCATGAAGTGCCCTTCTAAAAAGAAATATGATCTGAAGATGCTAGGACTTCAGTTTCTCCTTCATACAGTCATATCTGAATTTGTAGCTTGATGAGTCCTTCTTTGTAAAGCAGGATTTCAGTGACTAAATCAAGTAAATCTTAAGGTCTTTATCATGGAGAAGAAGAGCCTTGTCAGTCTGACTTAGAAAGCTTAAATGTGGTGATACATGGGGCTAGTATGAAAAAAGGAAGTTGTAATTCTACTTGCTTATTTTCTTCCATAGATGTTTGTCCAAACCATTAGCTCCTTCTGCCTCATCATCCTCAGAATCAATAGTTCCATCCCTACCTGAACCAGAAGTGAGCAGTGACAAAAAGACTGAACGATCAGAACCAGCAAGAGTGCATGAAGCTCCACAGGTGCTGAGAAGGGCCCCTGGGAAAATACCCAAGTGGCTGAAGCTACCAGGTATCACAAAGTCAGGGGAGAGTTCTCCTACTGAAACACTTTCAATATTGACACTGCTCTTGAAAATGTCAGCAGAGGCTGGCAGGACATGCATATCAGTGCTTGTCAGTCACAAATCATTTCCTTCCTTAAACCTCAGCCTTCACTGGAGAGGTGCCTGAATACTTATTCTATAAGGAAGTAAAACCATGAAACGTTATCTGGAATTCCCTGGCTAATAATGCCAAATGTTAGTTTCCTGGCAGAACATTATTATTTGATTCTGTGGGGCCATCAGCTCCAGCAGCATAGGAAAGGGTGTGAAATTGTTACTGAAAGGCTGCAAATGGTCACTTGGGGTGTGTTTCCCTGTTGTGGCAGATCTGTCCTTGATAGGATAAGGGGTAAGGATTTAAAACTAAAAGAGAGTAGATTTACAGTAGATACTGGAAGAAATTCTCCACCGTGAGGGTGGTGAGGCCTTGGCACTACTGCCCAGAGAGCTGTGTGTGCTCCATCCCTGGAGGTGCTCAGGGTCATGCTAGATTGGGCCCTGGGCATCCTGAGCCGGTGGGGGACAACCAGCCCATGGAGGGGCTTGGAACTGAGTGAGCTTTAAAGTCCTTTCCACTTTTAAGATTCTACCACTCATACTGGGATAGTGATGCACAGTATGTGGGAAGCAATATCTTTACCATTTCCTGTTTCTAGGACTCTTGAGACATTCCTCTTAAGAGTAGAACTTTCTCAAGTAAAGGTTATCTGGATAAAGCATAAAATAACATTTTGCCTACATCTGTATGTTATCCACTAGCAGCTGGTATGAAAAGTTAATATCATGCTTGAACATACATGTCAATAATGTGTAGGATGGGGTTCCCTTTCCTGGAAGTTATGTTGTATTCACCATTCCATCTGCTGAAGGACTGTTCTTCCATGCAACCCAACCATTGTCTGAACACAGCAGCACATAGGACAAGATCGTGCTGTTGAGAAACGATGCAGTGTGAACTGTGTGGTTAAGTATTTTAATGGCCTTCTGTTTGTGTTGTAGGTGGGAAGAGATGAAGCATCCTGAGCTGCAGTGAGCATTCAGTTGTGCCTCTTTCCTGATGAACTACTTCAGAATTTGTAAGAAATTGTTGGTGGTCCTGGAGAGATCTAATACGTATGAACATTAATTATATACAGAAAATTGCTATTACTTTCAGCTGCCAGCTTCACCTTTTGGAGGCGTGCAAGGCCTGTTTATAGGCTTTGTGACTACAGAAGCAAGATTTAACATTTCCTGCATGCAAATTATATGAATGGAGAATGGAAGGGAAAATAATTCCTAGATAATGTCTGTGAAGGACTGTGATTTCATCCATATTTTTAAATTCAAATCCTCCTACCTTTTGCCTTTCTATCCTCAAAGCTAACTTGAATCTGGCTGCTTGAACTCTAGCAGCAAGATACAATTCAATTTTACCTATAGTTTAGTGCTGACTAGAAGAAGACCTCTCTGCTTTTTGCTGGTAATTCTGGGCGTAGATGGCTAGAAAGTGGGTTTAAGGGAAGCACATCACTTACAACAGTTCAGATTGCCTTTTCCTATGAAACTCTTGGTCTACTGCACTTACATTGTTTTCATTTGCCCCAGAACACAGGTATCTGTTAATGGAATTTTCTCTGCGCATAATTTATGTCAGTAACTATGGGTATAATGCAGGGAAAAAAAATTCCCATAAGAATCTCTTCGTGTGACCATCAATCTACAAATGTCTTCTGTGGTCTGAGAGTTCCCACAGCAGAGTAAGCTGTTCTCTGCATGCAGTTGATATGCAGAGGAAAGTGCTAGTCCTGAATTTGCCTCCTGCAGATGCTGCAGTGGGATGAGCGTCACTGTTTAGAACTGTGCTTACACTGGAGATTACAGTGCCACAGTAGCCATGGTGCTTTATTTTTATTTTTTAAGTCTTCTCCATGGATTGGTGATTCATTCTGGGCAAGCTGGGTTCCATGTTATGGTAATAGCACATTTTCCATTTTCCCTGTACAGACAATTGTTCTCTAAACTATGTGTGCATCTGCACAATTTTGAGATGTAATAAAGCACAGTGGCCAGAGGAGGCCTTTTTGTCGGTCTCTTTGATAATGTGTTCCTTCCCCCAGTGCTCTGTTTCTCTGTCAGTTCACAGGAACCTGCTCTCTTTTCAATGGGCCTGTCATGCCTCATTCCCTTCCTCCCATTTTTTTTTTTTTTTCCAACAAAGCAAAACAGAGCTTTGTACCATCTGAATGAACTTCAAAGTAGCTAGAAAGGGCACCCAGGGTTCCTGGCACTTGTCATTGTCTCCCAGCCTGGCCAACATTTCCCTTCAGGTCTAATTACTTCCAAATGCTCTTAGATGCTTTGAAGAAACTTGAAGGGAGGGAGAAGCATGAAAGGTGGAAGAGGAAAAAGGAGACTTAAAGTGGAGGGAGCAGAATGCTTGAGCAAAAATGTTGATTGATTCCTTATATGACACCCAAACATAAACAGGGGATGTGTGCGGCCACCGGCAGTGGAGGATGCAAGAGCACTGTGTGCAGACATGCTGCTCTAAGTTCTTTCTTTGAAAGGCAAGCTCTTCTGGTGCTTGATGTCTATAAAAGGTGTATTACAACAAAACAAAATTAAAATAATGTTTAAAGCTTACTACTTCAGAGGATTGTGTGGGCTAAGCTGTTGTTTGGTTCAAGTACTCTCATTCTCATTGCTTTCACAGAAGTTAGAAGTATGCTACAGCTAGAGCTGCTGTGCTGAGTTTGTGTAGGATTTATTGGGGGCCCAGAAGAGCCATAGGTTGGCTCCCAGCATAGGCAGTGATGTACTCGTGCTAGTGTTTGAATCACTGGATTAAGAGTAAATAGGAGTGTTTTGGATATCAGGAAGCTGTACTGGGCTTCAGGGGTGCTACTCTTTGTTTTTGAAGAGCACAGGCAACATCAAGTGCCTTAGTTGTTTTGATTGTATCAGTTTTGTCACTTGTGAGTACATGAGCAAAGAGAAGGAAATGTCCGAGGACATGAACAGCACTATAAACTGCACTATAAACTGGGGCAGTTTATTGGGTTAAGTACAGGAGTGAGGATCAGAAAGTTAATATCTGGTCTGTCTTGACCCAACCGCTGCTCACAGAAAGTTAGGCATGACTTAATCTGACAGAGGCACTAATAAATCTTGGCCCAGTTTCTTCTCTGTAGCTGGGATGAGCAACAGCTGCAGAACCAATACTGGGTTTAACCAGATCCCCAGAGTTAACTTTCTAATCATTTTAAAAATCAAGATACAACTGGTTTACTCAGACATACCCTAATAGTGGCTGTGCCAGTCAGAAGAGGTTTCTGCTGAGGATTGGACTCCTGCAGCTGAGCCCTTGCAGCTGTGTGCACTGATTCAGTTGTTTGTGCATGCCCCTTGTGTAACACCGTGCATCAGTTTCATCTACTGCTGTTTTAATAGAATGAAAAATGGATATCTCCAACAACTAGATCAGGTCTTACTCCCCTATGCAAAAAAAAAAAAAAAAGGAAAGAAAAGAAAAAAAAGCTACAGCTATTAAAATACCACTTTACCACTAACATCCAAATCTGCAGTCCTCTTCAGTCAGGAATGCTGGTGGTATGGGCCAAGGAAGTGAAGTTGAGCATTTTTAGATCCCTTTGTGTGTCACCAAGAGTCAGAATGGGGGGGAGATGATTTGGAATCTAGATAAGGTTTAAAAAAAATAATAAGTAGGGGTGGATTCTTTTAAAGGGGCCAGAGGCTGTGGTGTGTGCAGGCTCTTCACTAAGGTACTTGTTACAGAGATTCCTACTGTGCTGCAGAACAATGTGTGCAGATTCTGGCTTTGCTTTGCTCTCTTCTGCTGCAGTATCTAACTCATCCCTAGGGGTGTTGGGCATTCAGAGGTAGTATTATCTGCATTTTTTGCTGTTGCCCTTTTTACCGTATGGTCGTGGGGCTGAAAGCTGAACTAGGTCAATTATTTCACTGGTTTCATTGTACAGCTGCACAAACAGTTCTCTTGGCAGAGAGGCTGCAGTTCAGAGGGTTGGGGCACTGCCTCGCCTGGTACCATCACCAAAAAGAATGTGTATTAAATTGTGGTTTTGGTCCAAATTTCCACGTGGCTCCCATCCAGAGTGATGACCTTGATGGTTCTCAGCTGAGGCACTACAGCGACCTATTGAGCTGTGCCTGCTACAGCTGTCAGTTGGAAAAAAAAAACCAAAAAACTGCTCCCTATTATTAATCAAAGGCTGCAACCAGCCAGCAGCACTGCACAGCCCTTTGGACACACGGCTGTCAGCTGCTTTCCATGCAGCCAGCTCTGCACTTCCCAACAAAGCTGGTTCAGTTGTGTGGGTCCTTTCCTCCATGTGCGAGGTTTCCTATTTCACAGCTCCCCCATTCTGCCCCCCTGCCGGCCCAGGGGCCGAGCTGTCCCATGATGTGGGATTCTCACACATGCTGTTTGTTATTCTGTCCTTTTTCCTTTCGTTCTACAAAGATTTAAAGAAAGAGGGTGGGTGAGGGGAAAACCGTGCAAGTCTTTGAAGCAACTTGACTTTTGATGATTAATTGCAGCAATGAGCCTGCACGAGGGAGGGAGCCTCGTTTTTGATTTATTGATGTTTCTTTGTGAGAACAAATTTATAGCAGAGGGGAAGCAGCTTCTGAGGAGAATATCAAATGGTTAAAAGGTTCTGAGCGCTCTTTGATGTCACAGCCCTGGAGAAATACTGGAAGGTAGTGAAGGACAGACACTGTTTATTTATAAAATAAAGATCAGATACCTGCTTTTGGCAAGAGCCTGTAACGGAGCTCCTGCTAACAACCTATTCATTAGCCAGGCTTGGAGCCGGACCTGAAGTTTCTGCCACTGCCGCCCGCTGAGATGAGGAGAGCCTGATGTTTGGATGACATTTCGAGCCATTAAGTCTTTCCATGCCTCTCATCTTGCGAAGCAGCACCTGTTTCTCACATTAGCTGAGAAAGCAACAGCAGCTTTACCGTGCCGATAGGCACACCGTTAGAGAAGGAAGGCAGCGGGAGGGAAACCGGTTGTGGCCCACCAAAGCCAGTGAGTGGAGGCCTCTGTTCAAAAACAGCATCTGCCTTCAGAGCCTTGGGACAGGAGCTGGGAAGCAGAAGCAGTAGGGTAGAGGAAGGTGGCACTGTTCTTCCTAGAGTTGGACTGAGCATCAGGTCGGGATCTTCTGCCAGCGGCTGACACGTCGCTTCTGCTGCACGTCTCTAGAAATCTAGAAGCTGTAAAGAAAGAGAAGAGCAGGGGCTAAAGGCAGCAAACCCCTGGGGCGCAGATGAAGGTAAGGAAGCAGCCTCACTCACCAGCTGGGGCAGCACCTTCTCCACGTGCTCGATGTCCACCTTCTCCAGGTCCTCCGCCTGTGCCTGTCGCGCTGCTCGCGCCGCCGCTTCTGCGGTGCAGCCGGGGAGAGAGCGCTGCGACGGCGGTGCTCGGGGCGGGGGGGGGACACACATCACCCCGGGCCGGGAGGGGGGGCAGGGCGGGGTGAGGTGAGGTGAGGGCGGTCCGGGGACGCGGGTGGGCCGGGGGTTGCGGCGCGCTCACCTCGCACGAAGACCTTCAGCAGCTCCGCCATCAGCAGCAGCGCGTCGCCGTTAACTGCGAGCACAGAGCGCTAAGGGGGGTGGGGGGAACGCGGGTGAGGCCCCCCCCCCCAGCGCCGGCCCCGCCGCCCCGTACCTCGCGTCCTCCCGTCTCGGAAATGCAGCCGCAGCAGCCGCTCCACCGTCTCCTGCGCGGAGAGAGAAGCGGTGAAGCGGGGCGGGGCCGCTCGGACCGGGGCCGCTCCGCTCAGCTCGGCTCCGCACCTTCCTGAAGCCGCCTTCCCGCTCCTCCATGGCGCCGCCCGTCCCGCCTCCCTGACGCGCGCGGGGCGGAGCGGAGCGGATCTCGGCTGCTCCTCGGCGGCAGCGCCGCGCTCGGCGGCGGTCGGTACGGCCCCGCGGCCATGGAGGAGTTCCGGCGGGCCTACGAGCGGCTGTGCGCGGCGCCGCAGGACGCCGTGCTGCGGAGGCTGAGGGAGCGCGGGGAGGCGCCGGGTCGGGCCCGCCTGGACCTGGCGGAGCAGAGCCTCTCGTTGGAGACGTGCGGGGCGCTGGGCCGCCTGCTGCCCGGGGCCGCGCACCTCGCTGAGGTGGCGCTCGGAGATTGCGGCCTGAGCGAGGACGGTGGGCGCGGGGGGGAAACGGGCGGGGAGCCGCGCTGCTCGAATGGAGCCGATCCCGTTGCTGAGGGACGGCGTTGTTGCGTCGGGCCCGGGCGGAGTGTGAAGTAAAACGGCTTTCTGTCTTTTCGTACCCAGGTGTGAAACTCTTGCTGCACGGTCTGTGTTCCAATACCACCGTCAAATCTTTGGATTTGAAGGTGAGGTTGTTAAGAGTCTGTGGCCCTGCTTGCGCCTCTCTCAGGGCAGCCCCCTCAAATCGTAGCCCCGTGCCCTACGAGGGCTGGGGTGATCTCAGGCTGCCACCGATTGTCCTTAGGATGTGGTAGAGATACTGGGAAGGGATTGGAACGAGAGCTGTTGGAGAGGGTCCAGAGGAGGGCCACGAAGATGATCAGGGGGCTGGAGCTCCTCCACTACAACGACTGGCTGAGGGAGCTGGGCTTGTTCAGCATGGAGAAAAGAAGGCTGTGGGGTGACCTCAGTGCAGCCTTCAGTACCTAAAGGGAGCCTACAAACAGAAGGGGAGTCAGCTCTTTGAAAGGGTAGATAACGGCAGGACAAGGGGAAATGGTTTTAAGTAGAAAGAGGGAAGATTTAGGTTGGATGTCAGGGGGAAGTTCTTTACTGTGAGAGCGGTGAGGTGCTGGAACAGCTGCCCAGAGAGGCTGTGGATGCCCCGTCCATCCCTGGAGGTGTTCAAGGCCAGGTTGGATGGGGCCCTGGGCAGCCTGGTCTAGTATTAAAGGGGAGGTTGGTGGCCCTGCTTGTGGCAGAGGGTTGGAGATTTGTGATCCTTGAGGTCCCTGCCAACCCAAGCCATTCTATGATTCTATGATAAAAGTAAAACAAAGAGGGATGGGGAAAGAAATAGGAACACGAGCTCAGCCGGAGTTAGAAACAGCTCCACAGCACAGCTGTGCAGTTCTGTGCATGTCTTGTTCTCCTGCACCTCCATTTCTGCCACAGCTCCCTATAACTATCTTGCAGTTCATCCTTTGGTTTTGATAGAAAGTCATTACTGTGGATCATTGGTTTGTTGCTGCATGGTCATTTGGAGGCTTTCCATTAGTTTTCTCTGTTAATTAGTGCATTTGTAGCAGCTTGACTCGAGCATCCCACTGGCTGGTGTACGTCTGCTTTAACAGACTGAAATCAGCATTACAGCCAGAGTGCACCTGGTGCTGTTAGATGGGATGGCTGCATTGGAGCAAAGTGTTTCACTGATCACACAGCACTTTCGTTTCAGGGCAATAACCTGCGAACCACAGGAGCTGAGGCGCTGGGAAAACTTCTTAGGCAGAACAAATCAATCAGGAGGTAAGAAATTGTATCTCTTTCTTTCTATTATTTCTACCGAATGGAACCTCAAGTTGGAAAAGAATGAGGGATGAGGGTGAATTTCTTGGGCTAGGAGGAATGTCAAGCAGTGCCTATGCCTTAGGTGAAGGAGTAAGAACTGGAGATGCCTCTTCTGGGGATGCAGAGCACTCTGCTCCCTGAGGCTGTGTTAGGGTGGCTGGGTGCTGTGATCCAAGTATCATTCAGGCTCTTGCAGCTTTCTCTTTATAAACTCCAATCCTGTCTGACTTTTTCCTTAGCCTAATCCTGGAATGGAACAGCCTGGGTGTATGGGAGGAAGGTTTTTCCTTTTTCTGCCAGGGACTGGGAGCAAACAACTTTCTCCAGCGGTTAGATCTGCGCAACAACCAGATCAACCATCATGGGGCAGGAGAGCTGGCCACAGCACTGAAACGAAACGCCAGCCTTCAGGAGTTGGGTAAGAGTGGCTACTTGTCCACCTACACATGTTCACATGTACATGAATTCATTGTAGCTAACGCTGATCTCTGCCAAGCAGTTTGCATCATTCCCAGTTCTTATTAGCCTGGATCACTTTGTATGGTGGGAACTGTCACTGAGATCTCTGGAACCCATCCTGCAGATGAAGATTCCTTGGAGAGGAGCAAGTGGAGAAGAGAATGTGTTTATACCTATTTGTGGTTCCATTAACAGGCCTTGTGCCCAACTATGGGATTTACTTTACACTTGCTTTGCTCTTACTAAGGAATTTTGCTAGAATTTAATTTCAGAAAATGTGGCTCTTGGTTCTGATTCTTTCCCAGCCATGAGTTGTGGTTGTGGAAGGAAAGCCCATGAGATGAAAATACGAGAGGAATTGTGTACCTTTTGTGTGGCTCTCTGCACTTCAAATTCATTTTTGCCTTCCTGCTTTGCCAGTTGTTTTCCTTCCCTCTCATTCATCTTGAAAAGGGAGGTAGTAGTCACTACTGTGTTTGTGCTGAGACCTTATGGGATTAGTTAGCCATGCATGTAGAGGTATAAAGAGCATGGCTTCTCTTGAGCCTTGTGTGTTTCAGCAGATATGTGGCTACTGGGGTGAAAGATTGCTTTCTGTATAGATTTACGTTGGAATAACATTGGGCTTCTGGGAGGCCGAGCTTTGCTGAACTGCCTGCAGAGCAACAAGACCCTGAAGAAGCTGGAACTGGCTGGGAACAATGTTCCCAGTGACATCTTAAAAGCTGTGGGTAAGTAGGACTTAGAATTATAGAATTATATAGGTAGGAAAAGACCCTTCAGATCATCAGATCCTCTTATCAACCTAACTCTACTGAGTGTACCAGTAAACCATGTCCCTAAGTGCATGGGAGAGAATCAGTAACTCTTCTCCACTCTCAGCACTTGGGGGATATAGGGTACTTGCTGCTCCAAAAGAGAGCTTTCCCTCCTCCCCTGCATTTCTCAGCAGCCTGTACGCAGTGCTCAATGTTATTTCTTTGCTCTCCTGTTCTCTCTGCATCAGAACAAGCCATGGATCACAACCAGGACCGTCAAACTATCCTCAGTGAGACACAACACCGAACTTGTGTGCTCAGCAAGGAGATACTGAATCTGAAGGATGAGAAGACCAAGCAGGTCAGCCATCCTACGTCAGCACTTCAAACTGGTCAGCTGGAATCCAGTGCCTTCCCTCAGTGTCCCATTGTGCACCCAAAGATGCCTGGATATGTTTATGAGCAGTACGCAGCACTGTTCAGTAAATAGGCTCCTTCCTCTGAGCTAGTTTGCCCAGGAATCAAATCTCTGACAGTACAGGTACTCACACATCTCCTGCTGAGCATATTCACTCTGGGTTCTTGAGGAGTTCTGGTGGTTTCCTTTGCCCATATTCATACTTTTGTTTTCTTTTGTAACTGATTTGATGTTTTCTGAACAGTGAAAACTTAGAAATATCACTCAGTTTTCCTTCTGGCCCTCAGTGGTGCAGAGCCCTGCAGTTAATGGCCTCAGTCAGACATGCTGATGAACCCTTTCAAAACTGCAGTTTGGTTTCTTCCAAGAGAGTGGCGTGAGCTCTCTCCTGCTGTCAGTAGGAAGAGAAAGCTGGCATATATAAATGCTCCAAGCTGATGGTGTTCATTTTTTAATGGGTGTGTGCCTTGTTCACAGTTCTTGGATTTGATGGACACAATAGACAAACAGAGAGAAGAAATAGCCAGGAGTGGCAGGTGAGTTGGATTTGAGTGCTTTCTGCTGTTGGACAGCAGCATTGGATCCTTCACATTTTCTGATAGAAATTAGCCACCCCTTTTTTTTTTTCTTTCTTCCCCAAATTCAGGATATCTGCGGGACGTGTCAGCCAGCTGCAGGAAGCATTGAATGAGCAGCACTCTATTATGAATTCACTGAAAGCCAAGTATGGAGGAGGAAAGCCTTAACCTTCTCAATCTTCTGTGCTGTATAGGCGGTGCTGAGCAGAGCTTTTTAAGGGGCTGAACTAAAGTGGCTGGCTTAGTATTTCACATAATCATATCTGCATTAATACCCAGAAATGATGGCCAGATCAGGTTTTTAGATAACTAATTATGACCAGATCAGGCTTTGATTAAAAACACAGTGCACAGCTGTAAGAGCAGGTGAAATACAGAGAGTGAACAAAAAGAAAAAGAACTGTGGGGATGGGGACATTTTTCTTCCACAGTTTGCAGCCTGGTGAGAGTCTGTACCTGCTTTCCCTGGCAGTTGACAGTATTCTCTGAGAGCCACTGTAGACATGGGGGAACATGACCAGCCAGGTTTTGTGTTCAGGAGCAGTGAGCTGGAACTGCCTAACAGTGCTGTTAGACTGTGTAGAGCCGTATGTGTGTGAGAGTGGTTGGACTTCAAACACTAATGACACTGGCTAGTTCAGCTAAAAGTGGTTTCATTCCATGGTGCCTCAGGGTGGACGTGTCCTCATATACAGAGTAAGCAGATCACTTTCACTGCCTGTGTTCAAAATTCTATCCCTAATTTTAAAGAATCTTGCAGCGGTGTAAAAGAGCCAGCCTTATTCTCCCCTGAGAGTGGGCAAATCCTGGAGGGGTCCAGGTATGGAAATCACTTCATTGAAAATAGGCTCACATATGTTAGCATCTTTTACCATGTAGTGTATGATGCTCTCTTGGGAGTGTCTCTCTTAGAAGGGGCTCTGGAAAGTGTTTCTTTATGCAGGCTGCAGATGACTGAAGCTGCCCTGGCTCTGTCTGAGCAAAAGGTGCACAACCTGGGAGAGCTGCTGAGTGCCACCAAACAGGAACAGGCCAACATGGCTGAGCGCCACTTTGCAGAGCTCCAGCAGCAAAAGCAGGTGGGCTGGGTCAATCCTAGTTAGGTTTGAGAACTGGGCTCTGGGTCATACCTGCTTTGTGTGGGTTTGGGGGATGCTGGTTGGGTTAGGCAAGCATGACTCCTGCCATGAGTGGGTTTTCCACAGCTGCTGTGACAAATGTCCCTGTGGAAATGAGACAGGTGAATGTGAGGGTGGAGAGGAGCTGGGGCGTTTGTGGGTGGGTTGGATTTTGTTGGGTGCAGTGTTGGTTGTGCTAACTTGGTGGTGCAGAGAACTAAGGTGAGTATGTGAGTTCTTTTTAATTCTGCTGCTATTTGCAGGAAGGTGCTGATCGGGAAGGCAAGCTTTTCCGTGACTTATCTGCCAGCAATGAGAAGAACTTGTTTCTAAGAAACCAGGTAGGAAAGGAGGTTCAGCACTGGGAGGTGGGACCTGGGTGATATTTGCCTCTGCTCCACGTATGTCCTCTGCTTTGGCTCCTGTTTGTCTCTGCTGATTGTTCTGTACAGCTAACTTGCTCTGCTAATAGGAGAAGAAACTCCTTCGTGACAGTGATTTCCTGTTAGGTGGATGAGTTGGAGAAGAAGTGTAAAGTGCAGCAGGATCAGTTATTCCAGCTAAAACAAGACTTGACCAACACAACAGCAGAGCTGAAGCTGCGGGCTGTGCAGGCTGAGGGTAAGTGGAAGATTAAAAGCAGCTTATGGGCACCCTTAGAGTATCGTTACCATCAGTGAGTCAGTGATGCAGGACAGGAAAAGAGAAAGCTTATGGTGTGGTGTAAATACAGCCTACGTGGCAGGAGTGCCTTAGTTCTGATGTGCCTGCTTTTCATCTGCAGAGCGCCTGGAAATGGAAAAAAGAAGATTTAAACAAAGTCTTGAAGACATGGAATCACTTCGCTTAAAAGAGGTAAGAAAGGCATTTCTGTAGGATATCTCTAGCTTCCTGAGGTTCATCTCTCTTTGATCCTGGCCATTGGAGGCCATTATTTGCACTTCAGTTTTAAAAATAGTGGATTGAGACTTACTGTGTAATAGACTTTTTCTACAAGAAGAGCTTAACTGAAGAGATCACAGGGCATTCTATCTGTTAGCAAGTTTTGTAACTTGTAAGGATATAAGCCAGAGTGGTATGTGACTGCCAGAGAGGCATGGAGGCTGGTGCTTGTGTCAGTCTTGCTAGGCATAGTGTTAATTATCAATAAGTAATCTTGTCCTGCTCAGTGAAATCAAGATACATTATTAGAATGAATTAAGATATACGTGCAAACAATCCTCTAAGGCAACTCAGCCTGCTTCTATCTTCTCTATTATGTTTCAGAGGGATGGAGAGAACAAGAGGCTGTGATCAGCTCTGTTTGGAATGTTTATGGAGGTGTCAAATCCCTTAAAAATAAAAAATATCTCCATAGATTTGGAGATCTTGTGAGAAAAGACACAGGACAAGAGGATGTTAGTCACATTAAAACTAGAAAATGATTCTCTGGTCTTTTGTACCACTTGAAGATAAGAGCTCATTAAACTTTGCCTGGAAGGGATGCTCTTTTTCATGCTCAATGGCCATGCTGTTATGCTTGGAGATATGAGTGGTTTTCTGGCACTTGTTTAAATGTTTTCTGCTGCTGTGCAGGTGGATCACTTGACACAGCACATGGAGGCCAGTGAACGTTCTCTGCAAGACAGAGTGCAGAGGCTGGAGGCCATCAGGATAGCCCTGGAGGAGGTGAGAGTGGGTGCTCTAGGTGCATTCAGGTGGGAAAGGAAGAGCATGCCTCAGGTGCTCTGTGAAATCCTCTAGTGCTGACCTATGTAAAGACTGACACGTGTGATGGGAAGGAACAAAAGAGAGCAGCTGGGGCATTCAGTTTACCAACTAAAATTATTTTAACTGCTTATGACTAAAGAATGAGAAGCTTCCATGGAGAAACTTGTAGATTGTGTTTGAACAAAAATAGTTACCTCTGAACATGGTTGGATTCTTACCAGGATTTGACTCTACAGATTTCCTGTTGGGAGTTCCAGGCCATGTAGCATGTTTCTCCTGATCTGTTCCCCAGCTAGATCCACTGCTGCCCTCTCCTATTCCCTTGCTTTTGGAAAGCTTCACCTGTTACTTGCCCCTTTATAACTGACATTTTCACTGAATTTATGTGGCAATCTCAGGGTGAGAAAAGGTGTGTAATTTGGTCTTGTTCACCCTGTCCCTGAGTGACAGGGGCAGTTGTGTCGCTTTGTAGTCTGTGACTAGGAAGCTGCTGATATCTTCTGGTTGGTGCTTCAATGATGGAGCTTCTCTATCCGGAAAGATCATTCCTGTTTCTGTGGCAGGAGCTGAGCCAAGTCAAAGCAGCTGCACTCACTGAGCGAGGCCATGCAGAAGAAGAGTTAATAAAGGTTCGGAATCAGGCACGGTTGGATGAGGTAAGGACTGGCTATGGGTTCTGATCTCTGGGAAGGTGAATTTCGCTTCCTGGCTTGTTTTTGCTGTAGGGAGATGATGAATAATTCCTTTCTCTGGGCTTCATTGTCCAATGAATAGTTTGATTTCTAAGGAAGGAGTTCAGAGAAGTCTGAATTGTCTCCAGAGTGTCCTGATCTGTTCTGTGCTTTCCAGTAGTATCAGAACTGATGTGGATACTGTCAAAGCAGAACTTAGGTATCTAAATTACCAAGTTGTGGAGCTAGCAGTCAGGTATAGATGCAGTTTACCAGCAACTTTCCTGTGCTGTTGTGTATCTCTGGACTCAGAAGCATTTCCCCAAATGGCAGCTGCTGCTGCTGGATGAAAAGGCATTGCAGAGTTGAATTTTGTAAAATAGCAATGAAGTGAACACCATGTAAAAGAGAATGAGGAAAATAAAAATACAGCAAAAACAGTTAAAATTTTTGCTTATACACAGCAACACAGAAGAAAATGCTTTACAGAGTTAAAACATAGAAAAGCTGTTGTTTGTGTTAGAACAGCAGTAGGTAAACCACATACAGCTGTGGTTCAGAGCCATTCAGGATAAAGAGGAGGTGAAGTATCATTAGATGTGAACACCAGATGTGAACTGGTAGCAGAAAGCAGCTTAGATTGTCTCCTGAATGCAAAGGATTTGTGCTCTAGCTATTATAGGTACATCATGTGCTTGCTTGTTCTTCAGTATCAGCTGGCTGAACCAAGGCTTCATGGTGTTGGGAACAAAAATGGGAATATCCCTTCACAGGAATGGAATAGAACTGATGTGGTTTTTTTTTCTTTGTCTCTTACAGCAGCAACGACTGGAACACCTTGAAGAGAAGCTGCGGCTGATGACTGAAGCACGTGATGAAGCTCAGAACTGCTGCCTCAAACAAAAACAGATGGTTGGTGAGGCCCAAGTCAAGGCCAATCAATTGAGCCTGCATGCTGATGGACTCAGAAGGAGAATAGAGGAACTTCAGCAGGTAATTTCATCTGGAGCAGAGAGAGTCACTGTGGGAGCAGAACAAATTACAAAAGTTGTTTGGTTAATTGTGGATTTGTCTTTGTCAGGATCTGAACAGTAAGGAACAAGAAAAAGTGACAGAAGTAAATAAAGTGAAAGTGGAATTACAGGAGCAGATTGGACACCTACAGGCTGAACGTACAGCACAGGAAGGGCTGAGAGAGAAGATTGCAGCCCTGGAGAGACAGCTGAAAGGTGGTGGATCCTTCCATGCTTTTCAAATTGTAATGTGTAGTAGCCTACATTGGGCCTTAGATTGAGCTGTGCTTACAGGTGACAGAGGTGCTTCCTACCTTTGAATACAGATCTACCCTCCATCCTGCTGTTTTTGCAGGGATTCTTATCCTCATTTTATTGAGACCACGACTTAGTAATATACTGTCCAAAGCTGCATAGCAAGCAAAATGTTGGAACTTCCTGCACAGTGATGTGTAACATCATGTCTTTGCAAAACCTTTCCCACTTTCTCGTGCAGCTGAAGGTTTCTTGCAGCTTATCTCGTGCTTGTTGCTCACCCTGTTTGTGCTACAGCAGGTGCTGTAGCTACACCCTGTGCCTACAGCAACTTGTTTCTGTTTGTTCTAGGAGCACCCAAATTTTCTGTACCAATGCTGCTTTTCTTTCACAGTCCTGTCAAGTAATCACCGAGAGGCACTGCTGGACAAAGAAGGTGAAATCTCTATGTTGATGGAGAAGCTGAGAATGAAAGAGGCTGACATCTCCAGGATGAGAGAAGAAGAAGCCCAGCGAGCAAGTATATTGCAGAATGCCATCATGGCATATGTGCAGGGATCCTCCTTGGGAACCCACAGTTTGAGGAAATGAGAGTGTGTCTTAAAGAACCCAGGTACCAGGAAGAGGATAAACTACTCAGGTACAGCCTCTTTTTTTTGTAAGCAAGACACTTTTGTCAGAGTGGGGTGGCCTGAAGGCTTGCAAGGAGAAAACCCCTCTTGTTCTTCAGAAATCTTGTTCCCAGCAGCATAAAGGAGAGGAGGAAGGAGCCATACTCAGCTCAGATAGAGGCTTATGGGTCTGAATTTGTGCTGTAGAGTCCTTAATCTGCACTGATACAGCATTTGAAGCTGTTTCTGTGCTCTTTACAGTGCCATTCTGCCAGCATGCTTTGTTAATACCAGTGGGATTTTATGTTCCCTGAAAAGCACTTGTTCTGAAGCACTAGTTTGAATACCAGGACTGATCACAATGCAGCCTTGTAAATGATGGGTAGCAGTGTTTACAGGTCCCTGGATGTGGGAGACATTTACTTTACCCTGAGCCACGGGGTCCAGGAGCTGCTGGAAAGATGAATCTTTGTGTGCCCAGTGGTTATGGATGCAAGCAGTGGCTGACAGCTCACTTTGGCTTTTTGCCTTGTCCCTCTGTGACCCTGGCTGTAGTGATGGACACAACTGGAACAGCTGTATGGAGAGGGACTGCTGTGCAGTGTCATCCATATCCTTGTTGGACAGCTGGGATTGGGCCATGGTCCACACCTCTACAACACCAACTGAGAGAGGAGTCTGTTTTCCTCCTTATTGTGGAATTCAGCCCTTTGTTAGACTTCTTGCAGCAAAAAATGCAAGAAGATTTAATTCCATTATGACTTTTGGCAAAAAATGTCCTCCTAGCTTCTCAGGATCCTGGAACCAATCTGTTTTTGGGGCCTTACCTTGGAGGTGAGCTGTGGTTCTGACTGGCTGGGAAGGAGGAGTTTCCTTTCCTTGGCAGCAAAGGTCCATCGGGTGGCACAGAGAGAGGAACAGGACTCCAGGATGAGATCTTCCTGCTGCTTTTTCCAGCGAGTCTGTGTGGGAAAAATGAATGTTTCAAGAGCCAGCTGGACAACAGAACTTTGCGTGGACTGGTTGGTTTGCGTTCTTGACTTTTATATTTTTATTTTTAAATCGTTTTGCTGTGCTGTTTTAATAAAGAGCTTTTACATTTTCCATAACACGGGGCAGCGACCGGCTGGCTGACGGCTGGAGCGGAGGGCGTTGCTGCTGTGCTGCTCTCAGGGCCGTCCCGTCAGTTTGTCCTGGAGCTGAAAGCCCTGCAATGCATGGCAGCATCTGGGGCAGAGGAGCTGAAGCCGGGTGTGAGCTGGGAAATGTGCTTTGGGTGCTGGGAGGGGGGCTGCGCTGGGAGTGAATGCACTGCGGCTACAGAGACTGCTCTGTCCCATCCTGCCGGGCTACGTGAAGGGCTGGAAGGGGCCGCAGGGCGTTCAGCTGCGGGACTGAACGGAGCTGGGGGTGCCCCATCCCTGAGGGGTTCCTATGGAGGCTTTCTGTGCCAGGCTGGACGCGTCCCGAGCAAACATCCCCCAGCGCCGGGGTTGGAACTTTAAGGTCCCCGCCCCCTGGGGCCGCTCCGTGGCTCCGGCGGTTCGGCATTTGTTCCTCAGCGCTGCGGCTGCACAACGGGCGGTGCGGGCCGTACAACCGCGCTCCGCCTTCCGCTTTCACGGCACGAGGCGGCGGCGGGCGCTCAGCCCCGGCATCTCCCGCGGGGACCTCCCTCCGCCCCGCCACCTCGCAGCGCTCGGCTCTGCTCGGCGGCGCTCGGCTCTGTTCGGCTCGTCTCCGCTCGGCGGCGCTCGGTTTTGCTCCGCTCTGCGGCGTTCGGCTCTGTTCGGCTCTTCTCGGCTCGTCTCCGCTCGGCGGCGCTCGGTTTTGCACTGCTCGGCTCTGCTCGGCTCATCTCTGTTCGTCTCTGCTTGGCTCTGCTAGTCTCTGTTCGGCTCGGCTCTGCTCGGCAGCGCTCGACTCTTCTCGGCTCGTCTCCGCTCGGGGGCGCTCGGCTCTGCTCGGCTCATCTCTGCTCGGCGGCCCTCGGCTCTGCTCGGCTCAGCTCTGCTTGGCTCAGCTCTGCTCTGTTCGGCTCTTCTCGGCTCGTCTCTACTCGGCTCTGTTCGGCTCGTCTCCGCTCGGCGGCGCTCGGCTCGGCTCGCCCCGCCCCGCCCGCGCGGGCTGTCACTGCGGCGGAGTCGCGGCGGCGCCGCCATCGCGGGCAGATGCAGGCGATCAAGTGTGTGGTGGTGGGCGACGGGTGAGTGCGCGGCGGCCGCGGGACGGAAGCGGCGTCGGCCCGCCCGCGCCTCGGACCTCGCGGCTCCGCACAAAGCGGGCCGGAGCCCGGCGGAGCCGACGGGAGGGAGGGCCGGCCCGGCGCGGCCCCGCCCCGCGGCCCAGGCGAGCCGGCTCGGCGAGCGGGAGGCGCCGCGAAGCCGAGGCGGGTGGAGCCGCGCGGCCGGGCCGCCATCCCGCGGGGCCGTTCCCGGAGCTGCGCCCGTGGCGGGAGCCCGCGGCCCGCCCTGCGGCTGCGGCCCGTCAGCTCGGGGCTTCGTTCGCGTCCGTCGGCGCGCAGCCGGGCCGGCCGTGCGCTCCCCTGGGTTTAAAGCCCGTCTCGCGTCGTATCGCTGTTCGGTCCCGTCGCTGCGGTGGCCGCGCAGCCTCTCCCCCGCCCCGTCTCGATGCTCGCAGGTTTTTCCTCACGTCTCCTTTTGTTGTTTGCGTTCCGAAGTGAAACGTGTCGCCGCTTCTGGCTTCACCGCACGGCCTGTCGTCCTTCCCGCTCTGTTCTCTGGGCTCCTTCTGATGCCTTTGGCTGAGAACGCGGCTGTATTCAAAATACGGGCGTGCTGTGGACTCCTGGTGCTTCCTAACTTTTCCTTGCTTGTCTGATGTTTTTCTCCTCGTTATTCCCAATGTGTGCATTTCCGATCGCCACAGCAAGCATGGAGCAGAGATGTAGAGAAGTCATTGTGAATGGTCTTAGGGAGCAGCTGGTCCTTCCACCTTCCTGTGCATACAGCACCCACAAGTCTGTGTTTGGAGTCAGGTCTTCCAGTTTCTAGCTGGAGGGCCTAAAGAGGCCAGTAGGAGACTTGTCCAGTACAGCACAGCCTTGTTATAAAGAAGACAGCAAAAGCTGTGAGTGGGGTGTGCTGGAAGTGAGCTCCAGGTCTGCAGGTCGGTGGTGAGCTTTGAATGAACTTGGCTGAATGAACTTGGGTACCCAAACTCTTAAGTCACAGATACGTGCATATGTAATGAATTGCATGTTTTCCCCAAGGTGCTGAATTGGGATTTAAGTTGGACATGAGAGTGTAGTGGAGCATAGCAGCTCCTGATGCAACCTCCCTGGTCTGGGCAGGGGATGTAATGAGGGGAGAAGCAGGGTGGATTGGTGCAGTGGTTCTGGCTGTGTAGTCCCTGTGCAGCACTGTGGTCTCTCATCCCTGAAGTCTGTTATGTCACTTTTCTGAGAATCGGGTAGGGTATAAGTGTGTCTGTTCAGGCTTACTCAAGCTCTAGCAACTGTAACTGGCACTCAATATTGGTTTCCCTTGAAGGTTCTCTGCAGCTCACAACTTTTACAGTAATAAATAAGTTGTTTTTGCTCCTGTTGCTTCTGTGTTCTTAGAAGCTTTTCCCTTCCCCTGCAGGGCCAACTGCCCTTCCTATCTAACGCAATTGTCAGCCAGCTGCTGCCCCTGAGTTGACCAATCTCACCTGCCTTTGCCAAAGCTCCGAGCTGATGTATTAGTGATCTACCTTGGTGCCAGAATCTCTTTCCAAACTGTCAGTAGTCATTTGGAAGTTTGCTTTTGTTTACGGATACTTATTTTTTCATCCTTTGTATATATTGACATTCAATTCCTATGTCTGAAGAGCCTGAATAACTAGTTGTGTGCTGTTCAACGTTTTCTCACCCACTGTTTGCCCATTTTGCTACATTATTATGGATATGTTGAGAGAGAGCACGCCCAGCACATAACCCTAATTTATTTCCCCTCTTGGTTTTGGAACAAATACATTTTGCCTGGTGTTCTGCTGAGGCCAAAGGAGTGGAGAAAAGGAGTAGAAGAGAGCAGTGTCAGATGCATGCTGAGGTGGGGTGAGTTCAGGCCTGGTCCCTGGCAGAAAATTTTAGCCTGCTGCAGATCTGTTTCCTCATGTTAGTTTTTCACCTAACCTCATTTTTTTGGGTGGGAAAGGGTAAATTTCCCTGCCCCAGTGCTTTCTGCTCTACCCTCGTTTACGCTTGTCACTCTCATCCTCTGCAGAGCTGTAGGGAAGACCTGCTTGCTGATCAGTTACACCACGAATGCCTTTCCTGGAGAGTACATCCCCACTGTGTGAGTAATGTGCATCAGCTGCTCTTCCCTGTGTGTGTGTGTGTGTGTGTGTATGTGTGTGTGTAAAAGTTGGTTTTGAGGGTGAGGAGGCTGTGAACTCTGTGGAGTATGGCTGTGTATGGGAGAAAAGGAGAGTACCCCCATGGGAACTGCATTGCACTGTGACCCCTCCTGACTCGCTGCCCCTTGGATCTCATATAATGTCACATGTAGGTCAGAACAAGATTGTCACTGATGGGGATTCTTTTTTGGCAGGTTTGATAACTATTCTGCCAATGTCATGGTAGATGGAAAGCCAGTGAATCTAGGCCTCTGGGATACAGCAGGACAAGAGGATTATGACCGACTGCGGCCTCTTTCCTATCCACAGACGGTGAGTACTGGGCTTGGACTGGCTTATGACTGCTCTACTAAGAGATTGTCACATTCTAGTTCCTACTTTGCAGTGGTGTTAGAAGAATTATGCATGTTGTAGGTAAGCTCGGGTGCATGGGATGGTGTGGAGCTGCTGTAAAGCTGAGCTGTGTTTCATATTCCTACTCTCTTTTGGTGGCATAGCTCAGTACTGGGCTTTGCTAGTGTTGCTTTCCTGGTTGTAGTATTGCTACATGGCCCCCACCACCAGGGATGAAGACTGTAGCACTATTAAGGTATTTATGATCACAGGTTCTTAACAGGTTGAGTCTAGTATTGTAAATTAAAATGAGGTCACACACTCAAAATCCATTCCTTCTCTCTCTGAATTAGTTTAGCAACCTTCATGGGGAAGGGCTTCGTACAGCCAACAGTCCTTGCTGTTGAGGGTGGGTTTTTTTTTTGGTGAGGCTCCATTTTTCACCCTCCCTCCATTATCTCTAGCTGTTCCTTTCTACACAATTGATCCTCTTGTTTCCCCCACAGGATGTTTTCTTGATCTGCTTCTCCCTCGTGAGTCCAGCCTCCTTTGAGAATGTCAGAGCCAAGGTATTGTGTTCTCCTTCTTGGTGGAAGGGAGGAACCAGAGCGGTTCACTGCCTGAGCCAACCCTGTGGCACCTACAAGCCCCACATTTCTAGCAGTTGTGTTTTGAGAAACAAAAGTAATAGTTGCTTGGTTTTAAGAGGGACCTACTCATTATTCGTGACTTCTTTGGCTAAGCTTTTGCCTCTTCAAATCTGTGTTAAAGAAGATGAAGGATGTCTTAGAAACCAAAATGGAGTTGAAGTACTGTGTGCAGAGCTGGCTGATGTCATCTGTCACAATTCCATGTTTCAGTGACTTGTTACATCTGCACCAGTCTCTTTCTGCAGAGCATATCCAGAATTCTAGGTAGAAGAATCCTGTTCAGGTATTTACACTGTGTCAGATATTAGTAAAAACCTTGTTCTTTGTAGTAAATGCAGCCTCGTGGCAGTGCCTACTAGCCATGGCTACTTTTCTCATCATGCTTCTCTGTTTCAGTGGTACCCTGAGGTCCGACACCACTGCCCAAATACACCTATCATCTTGGTGGGCACCAAGCTGGACTTAAGGGATGATAAGGACACCATCGAAAGGTTACGTGATAAGAAACTGGCTCCCATCACCTACCCCCAAGGTTTGGCCATGGCTCGGGAGATTGGTGAGTGATGTGCTGGGAAGTCTTCGTGGCACGGAGCTTTTTGTTTTGGAGTGGGTGAGGGACGCTGCCTCCTGGTAGGACTGGAGTGCTTGAGCTGAAGCTCTCTTTCCCCTAGGCTCGGTAAAGTACCTTGAGTGCTCTGCCCTCACACAGCGGGGCTTGAAGACGGTGTTTGATGAAGCCATCCGGGCTGTGCTCTGCCCGCCGCCCGTGAAGAAGCCTGGCAAAAAGTGCACCATGTTCTGAGGGCTGTGGCCTAGGTGCTGGCTCAGCATGTTGTTGTCCTCCGACAGATTGCATATTAGCTGGGTGTTTCTGGAGGGGGCTGGGATGTGTAGGGCCCTTCATCATGTACGAAGTCAGTGTTTTTTAAATGTCTCTTTGATTTAACGTCAGTGTTGATGTGAAGGGGCAGTGGGGGCAGGAGACTAGCTGGGGGCTGCACAGCCCTCAGGAAAGTACAATGGGGAAGGCAAGATAGCTCCTTGGGGCAACAGGCTGTTTTGGCTCTCCTGAACTCCAAGCTGAAAGGGCTGAGACATCCATCCTGTGCTGGAAACACCTGTGTTTCATCTGCAGGTGTAACACGTGCTGAAGATCCTTGTGGGAGTGGGAAGGAAGCTGATATAAGTGGTGGTGAATGACAAGAGCAGCTGGAAGAGTAGAAGGGTCTCCTTGCCCAGCCTACTGTGGCTAACAGTTAACAAATTGGTGCTCTATCAGATACGTGCCTGAGACTGTTGAAGGAATCATAACCAGCCCCAGAAGGGGTCAAAGTAAACGAAATGTGAAGCTGAAGAACTAATCATTAGGTGCTTAATTGGATACTAGCCAAACTCAGTGAGTGAAACAGCCTTGTGCAATCAATGTATTTGCCTTTTTGTGTGCACACCCTAGGACAGCATGGTGCTGCTCCCCCCCATCAGTCTTTAGCAGGGCCTCCCCCCACAATCCAGTCTCTGCAGAGCAGGGCTGAGGTTGTTGCCTCTGTTTTGTTTTTTTCTACTAAAGAGAGCAAAGGAAGCAATGAGGTGTCTGCTAACTTCTTCTTTCCCTTCCCAAGGAAAATGCAGGCGGGCTTTATGGGTTTGGATGGAACAGGGAAAGCTTCTGAAGGGTTGTGTTTGTAGGGGGGAATAGGGTTGGAAGAAAGACAGATCCAATTTCTAATCATCATGTAGAGTGATAAGATAAAACCTTATTTGGTGCAATAAACATTCTCCATGACAGCATATGTGATCTTTATTATATAGCAGCCTTCTAAAGGTAACTTTCTGCCTCAATTCTCAAACAGGTTCTAGCTCTGCTGCCCCTCTTATCCAGCAACACTGGGTCTTTGTCACTGTTTACTATTCGTTTTAGATCTATGCAATACTAGTATGAAAATTAGACTAGGTATGAAATGCAGATGTCATCTTAGGAGACGAGAAATCCCCCATCAACCATCAGTGAGCTGCCAGTTGTCATAGCACTCTTGTCACTGAGCAGGAAAAGAATGCTGTTCACCACATCATCCACCTCTGGAATCAAACACAGAGGACATCCAATGCACCCTCAATCTGTACCAGAAAAACAAGGATCCCAAACAGTGTGTCTTTGGCCTCTCTACATGTAATTGGAGCAGGGGAATCTCTCTGCCCCCCCGGGCTGTGCTTGGTGTGATATACAGGACAGTGTGGCTGAGAGCAGGACATCCAAAAATCATCACTGTGACCAAATGATAGATACTTAATTCACAGCAACAACCAGTGCTCCCTGCAAGTCATATTCATGAATAATAGAGGAAGTTCATTCTGCTTAGCCAGAGATGACAGGGCTCTAGAACAGGGGAGGGAAGTGTGCCCTGTCATCAGATGCTTTGGGAATTCAGCCACAGCCACTCAGCAGGGTTATGACTTTGCTCACAAAAAAAGGTAGCTGTGGCTGCAGTGTCAGTTAGGAGGAAAGCTTGGATATTAGGAGGAGCTCAGCCTGGCAACAGGTTTAGACTGACCTGCAAACTTTCCCAGTGGAATCCGGTTAATCATGGCAGCAGATTTCTGAGGATCACTCCAGTTAATTCTCCCCATGTCGGTCATAACTACTGTGGGATTCACAGTGTTCACCCTTATCTGAGACCAAGAGCAACACACCATGTACCAAACTGCTCTGAGATGAAATGCCTTTCACGCTTCTCTTTCAGAAGGAATCTTACCTTGTGGGGTCCCAGTTCCATTGCCATTACCTTACTCAGCATATCCAAAGCACTTTTGGTAGAACCTTAAAAGAGGAAGGAAGAATGGGAAGCATTTAAGTGCACAGCACTCGGTCTGGATCATGGAGAGGTTCTTTACTCTGGCCAGAACTGGAAGCTGGAACCTTTGTGGCTGTGGGTCTCCAGCTAGTCAAAAATGAAAGGGGCACTTACAGTAAACAGCATGATCCCTCAGGGCACGCTGAGATGCCTGGCTAGAGACATTCACAATTGCACCTGGTAGCCCCTGTGCAATCATCTGCCGAGCAACGATCTGAGGAGGGGAAAAAAAAATAACAGGATGTCAGAATCTGGACAGGAAAGAGCATGATTCCATTTGGTAGGAATCTTCTTGTGGTAGGCAAAAGAGCAAAAACAGCCACAGGATGTCCTCAGTGCCTCCCCATTGGAAGAGACAGGATCTTCACTCTCTTCTCTGACCCTGTACACACAAAATGTTGAATTGATTTTGGACTATGGTCCCCATAGCTGTCCCCCTGCCAGGACGTGTCTCTGCTATGTAGAACAACTTAGTTGTTGCTGCTCGTGGAGACAACTGCAGTGACAATTCATCCTCACCTGAGAGACGTGAAGCACGGCCCGGAAATTCACATCAAAAGACCTACAAATAAATCAGATTTAAAAGTTACACAGCGTTTGCAGGCCAGGCCAGAGAGGAATTGTTCTGAGAGGCAGCAGAGGACGAACGCTGCTGGTGCTTTGGGTGATACTTAAACACAGATATAAATGCCAGGTTGATGAGCTATAGCAGCAATGGTTAACCATGTGTTCATTCAGCAGAAGCAAGCTGGGTGGTGGCCTCTGCTGTGCAGAGGGGAAGGTGCAATCATGCATCTTCCATTTCTAGCAGGACTCTGTTCTTTGGCAGACTCACACAGTAAGTCTATTAAAGTTTAAACACTGATCCCTGGGCCTCAGCCCGTGGCTCCTCTTATGCAATCCAGCCTTGGTGAGGCTTTGAAACAGTAAATTTGTGTAAGAAAGGTAGAAGCAGCCCTTCTTTGAAACATAGTTCTTCCTTGGTGAGCTTTTCACCAGCTAGCACTGCAGAATGACCTAAGTAGATCCAGTCTGCTTCAAACCGATCCTTTATCATAGCCTCAAGTATTTGGTTTCTAACACAGGGACAAATTGTGACCCATCTTAGAAGGAATCGGACCCACCAGAACCTGGATCCTAAACTGGGGCACATTAGGAAATATATAATTGAAGCAAACAGATGTAATTTTTCACCGTGACCATCTCACAATCCCATAGCTGGCTTTGTCTTCTCTTTCTAAACTGCCTTAGCAGCAGCTGTCTCACTTTAGCAGTGGGACCGGACTGGAAGCTCTGGGGCTGCAGGGAGGTGATGTTACAACGTTCTCTCTGTGCCTCAGCGCTTTGCTTCAATCTCCTCTCGATATTTACAAAGAGCGTGAAAGACGAGGAGGCGCTCACCGCTCCACGGCCTCCCGTGTCACCTGCAGGAAGGGCTGCAGCATCGCCACGGCCGCGTTGTTTACCAGCAGCTCGAAGGGCCCCGCCGCGCCCACCGCCGCCTCCGTGGCGTCCCAGTCGGCCAAATCCAGGCACAGCGGTTCGATCCCGGGGCACTGCGGTGGAAGCCCGGCTCAGCGGCGCCCGGGCTCAGCGGTTTGGGGATGCGGGGGGATTCTCGGCGCCGTCCCTACCTCTCGTGCGAGGCTCTCCAGGTCCGCCGCGGTGCGGCTCAGCGCGGTTACTCGCGCTCCGGCTTTGCACAGCGCTACGGCCACGGCGCGTCCGATCCCTGCGGGGAGACGCCGTCAGCCCCGGCCCCGCTCTCGCCCCCGTCCGCTCTGCCGACCCCCGCCCACCTTTGCCGGCCCCGGTGACCAGGGCGCGGCGGCCGCGGAAGCTCGAGTCCGGCTCCATGCCGCGGGCGGACTGCGGCCGTGGGCGGAAGCGCGGCGCCGGGACGTGGGCGGTGCCGGGGCCGGGAGGCGGAGCCGGGCCGGCTGTGCGGGGACCGCGCCGTCCTCGGGGAACCGACGGTGCGACAGCCGCTGCCTGCCTGGAGAGGGCACGGCTCGGAGCATCGGGCGCGCAGAGCTCAGCTTCCTCGGCTCTGATTCTCCCTAAAGAATTCTCCTTCTCGGCTGAACGCGAGCCAGCAGCGTGCCCGGGTGGCCAAGGAGGCCAATGGCATCCTGGCTTGCATCAGGAACGGTGTTGCCAGCAGGAGCAGGGCAGTGATTGTCCCCCTGTGCTCAGCTCTGGTGAGGCCGCACCTCCAGTACTGTGTCCAGTTTTGGGCCCCTCGCTGTAAGAAAGACATCGAGGCCCTGCAGCGGGTTGAAAGAAGGGCGACAAAGCTGTGAGGGGTCTGGAGCACAGGGCTTGTGAGGAGCGGCTGGAGGAGCTGGGATCGTTCAGGGTGGAGAAGAGGAGGCTCAGGGGAGACCTCATGGCTCTCTATAACTACTGAAGGGAGGTTGTAGGGAGCTGGGGGTCAGCCCCTTCTCTCGTGTAACAGGGATAGAACTAGAGGGAATGGCTTCGAGCTGCACCAGGGGAGATTTAGGCTGGATGTTAGGAAATGCTGCTTCTGTGAAAGGGTGGTCAGGCACTGAATGGGCTGCACAGGGAGGCGGTGGAGTCACCGACCCTGGAGGTGTTCAAGGAACGTTTGGATGTTGTGTTGAGGGACAGGGTTTGGTGAGAGCTATTGGTGACAGGTGGGTGGTTGGACTGGGTGATCCTGGAGGTCTTCTCCAACCTTGGTGTTTCTGTGATTCTGTAAAGCACTACAGCAAGAGAGCTTGGAATAAAGCTTGAAAAGAGCTGTGCCCAGTTGCTCAGAACTGCTGATAAAAGCTGGGGGCTGCCCTTGTCTAACAGTCAGTACCTAAAAAACCATTTGTAAATACACAGAATCCTCTTGCCTGAGGCCAGCATAGGGCATATAGTTCCAGCCCTCTGCCAAGGGCTGTGTCTGACCTGCCCTTGAATGCCTCCAGGGATGGGGCATCCACAACTGCTCTAGGCAGCCTGTGCCAGTGCCTCACCAGCGTTAACATCTGACCTAAATCTCCTCTCTTTTACTTTAAGGCCATTCCCCCTTGTCATGTTGCTATCAGACCACATAAAAAGTCCATTCCTCTCCTGCTTCTAAGCTCCCTTTACATAGTGGAAGATCACAATAAGATCTCCCCCCAGCCTTCTCTTCTCCAAGCTAAACAAGCCCAGTTCCCTCAACCTTTACTCACAGGAGAGGTTTTCCAGCCCCCTGATCTTAGTAGCCCTCCTCTGGACCCCTCCATCAGCTCCACATCCTGCAAGGTACAACAGAAAAGTGGTCCAGAACTTGTTAAGGAGTTAAACTCCCACACCACAGCTTACTTCCAGTGGTAGTGAACATGGCAGCTCCAGCTGCCTCCTGCTTTGCAGAGCTGACATCGTATAACAGAGCAGCAAGGCAATTATACATCCAATTAACATGCTCTAGTGATAGAAACAGAGCTCTGCTCGTAATACCCCTTTGATCCATTGCTTCCCGAGGATGCTTAAGAGCTGCTGTGGCAGAGACTGAATGGGAAAGTTCTGACATAGAGCTGGTTAAAATACTTAAATAATTAGCTGCAAGGATTCTTCTCACCCATATTTCTGCCTCTGCACATCCAAGTCATCTAATTCCCATATGCTTTTTGTCCCTATGGCAGCACAAAGCTGACAGGAGGCTAGTTTTCTGGATTACAGGGTGTAGTGGTTCATTTTTGGTGAAGAGAATGCATTAAAAGACAAGACAAAACACACCTTTTGACATTCTTAAATATTTACTTCATAGAATCATTTTACGTATGAGACAGTAGTTTAAGAAGCTGCATCCCAGTATATCTACAGAGCCTACTGTATTGTGAACAAGAGAAACCTTACAAGAAGCTTGAACACAAACAATCCTGCATTGTCATACAGAAGAATGCAGTCCTTTTTCAGCTCCATAAGCACCCTACC